ATATATATATATAATCTCTATCTATCTCTGAAGAGACACCGCTGCACTAGTGGTGCCTTTTCTGAGTGTTGCCATCTCTTTAGGATCCTATGAGGACCCTGCAATGGTAAGTATCCATATCACCAGGCAGCAATGTGACTACCCCACACTCTAGCAGAGAGAAGACTTGAGAACTGATGGATCATGTGCCCTCCCCCACAAGTGTACATTGAACGAAAGCGCAGTAAAATGCATACACTGCTGTCACCATGGAACCTTTAAGATGGAATTCCCTTTTTAATCAGACGCGCTGTTATCGTCAGTCCTTCCTGACTGGCCTCACAGCTGTGTCTTGATGGTTGACGAGGGGCATGCCCCCTTCATTCATGAATCAAGGTTCTGATGAAGGGGTTGTGCCCTGGAAACTCCACCAGGCGAACATTGTTTTGGGGGGGCTGGCATTAAACCTCTAGCATGGTTTAACTTTGTCCTACATTTTACTGTACATTGTATATAAAGTGGAACTCTAACTAAAATCCTTGTGGATAGAGCTATGGACAGTTAGACCCAAGGGCTTTAGTGCTGTGTCCCTATTGGAGGGATTTCCCTTCACTCTCTCACCCAAACACCGAAATCTCCCCAAACTGATTGGAAATCCTGCCACACGGAAATGGCCTGGTTTTTTTTTAGCCTACATACGTTTACCGAAGGTCTTCTACAATGTATGTGGAGACACAGGCATTCTTAAGCTGACCTAAATGACAGATGGTGAGGGCCATATGGACCTTTCTGGGTGATTTCCTAGGTAATTAGCTGCTACTAGTTACATGACAAAATAATTCACTTCTTGCTGTACTCTCCTACTCGTGCATCAAAATGTAGATGAAGTTCATTGGTATTGTGGAATTACAAGGGAATTGATGTTCCATATTACTGTGTAATAGATCTTTCCTTAGAGGGAATGTTCATCATACCAAGGGTCACCATCCATTTCCACATCCAGTGTCCGTTTACAATCAGTAGACAACCAGCATGCCAGTAAAAGAGCGTGTCGTTGCAGTGTAGCTTATTTAAATGTTTGCGTTCATAGTGCGCTGAAAATGGCTTCATATGCCCACCGCTGCACGCACGGCTTAGGTTGCCTATATATGTTTTTATAGGCCGGGTCTTGCCACAAGCAAGGACGTATGTCTGCCTAAGCAGTATTTAATCCATATGCAGTAACTCCATCACCCTCTTTCTAGTGTAAGGGTCATAGGGAAATGTTTTTCTCACAGCGAATTGTTTGTGAATACCAAAATGGACTTCTTTTTTTTTTTAATGTAGGAAAAAGAGAAAAGGATATGAAGATGATGATTATATCTCCAAAAAGCCCAAAACTGAAGAGGTATGCACACATTTTTTGTTTCTTTTGATGATTAAGAGTTGGTTATAAAAACTGATAGATCATCTTGTGCTTGTGGGAAATGGTGTACATCATCAGGTTGTGTAAACCAGCAGATGTACCTGAGTTCATTGAAGACTAAAGCTGGCCATACACCTATTGATTATCTGCAGACTTTCTATGGTCAGATGGGAAACGTGCAACAGATTCCTCCATCTATGTGTATGGACTGTGTGTATGCCGAATCTGGCCGACAGCCTGCTTCTGACTGCTCGGCGGAGCCAGCCGTCATCTCACGGTTGGCTCTGGCCACTTGCATGCACATACGGATCAGCGTACCCTGGTTACCAGCTAACCAGGGACACTGATCTGTCAGTACACTGAGAACCCGGCGGAGCCGCTGTGATATCAAGGCGGCTCCACCGGGTTCTCAGTGTGTAATGACAGTTCATCTCCTGGTTACCTAGTAACCAGGGGACGCTGGACTGTCATGAGAGCTTGTCGGAGCCGGCTTTGATATCACTGCTGGCTCCGACAAGCTCTCATTGTAATGACAGCTGGTCCCGTCCAATAGAAAACAGTTGGGCAGAGCTAGCTGTCACTGCTAGCTCCGCCCGCCCAATCATTTTCTCCTTTTTTTTTTTTTTTTCCTACTTTTTCTATTCTGCTCGGTACCACAGAGGTACCGAGCAGAATAGCTGAGCCGAATGGTGCTCGGCGGCATTCGGCTATTCACTCACTGCTGTTTGGCCCCTATGAGAATAGGCCGAACAGCAGCGAGTAGCCTGCCGGAGGTTCGGCTAAGCCGATCCAGATGTTGGATCAGCTGAGTAAAACTCCTTGCCAACCCGAACCCAGCCGCAGCAAGCCGTTGTACAGCTGATTTCAGTCAGTATACGGCTGAAATCAGCTGTACAAGCCTGAAGGGAATAGCCGAACAGCATTAAGAATCGGGACACACACACACGGACACACACGTTCTCTGAACAGTAGCAAGCTCCTTCCGGTGACACCTAATCAGCTGCGGAACTCCCCACCCAAAGCTGCATGAAGGCAAAGGGGCAGAATGCTGTGAAATCAGTGATCTTATATTGCCACATGGCTACATTTGGTCACTGACCTAATCTGGCCATGTAAGGTGAATTATGCCAGTACAAGCTTTGGTTTATATGCAGCTGGGGACACACACCCCCTATGTGTCCCCAGTTATTTACAAACACTGGAGTGATCACGCGATCACTCCGGTGTTTGTGCTGCACAGAGGATCGGTAAATATCAATGATACTTATCGATCCTCCATACGGCCACGCACAGAGCCGCTGTCATCCGGAAACTGACAGGATGACAGCGGCTCCGTTCTCCTCACCGCTCAGCCATCCTGAAACTTGTGGCTTCTCCCCGCCAGCCGACGCTTGATCCTCCGTCCGAGCGGCTCCAGGCAGGGATGAGAGGCTCCAGATGCCGACAACTTTTTCCATTGATTTTATTTTCAACTGCTGGGTTGCTGGCATTTGTAAAAGACCCCCCAAACCATATATTTCCTGAAAGCCCAGGCCCGGTAGAATAAAAAGCTGGTGCTATTATTTTATTATTGTTTATTACTGTTTTGCAAAAGGTGGAATATGCCTTTTTAATGGTTTAAATCCAGTAAATTCTGGGGGTCGGAAGATGAAGCTAGTCACTCATGCTCCCTCTGCTGTGCTCCATCAGAGCTTTCTCATACAGGTGCTTTCTGACTAAATATCATGAAAAGAAGTCATCGGACTTAATACATTTACAATGTTTTCTTTTTCCCCTTTCAGGAGGACTGGAGCGACGATGATTTGGTGGATTCTTTATAGTTAACGGACTATGTGCCACAGTTTATGTACATAACAATGTGTATATTTTTGTTCCAGGTATTTAAACTTCCAGTTGATTCAGTATTTGTGTAAAAGGAATTCTATTGTAAAAGACTGCTTTCAAATACATTTTGTTTATAATAACTGATGCATGGCCTCTTTTCTTTGTACTGGACATACTAAACTATTCAGTGGAAATTTAAAGATAAATGCACTTATTTCCCGGCTTGAGATGAGTTTGTAAACAGGTTTTTTTCATTGTATCAGTGCATTGGGGTTCCAATCAAAATAATTGGCACCACTGTATGTGCATACTGGTTAAGCTTAACCCCTTCGTGACTGACGACGTACAGTGTACGTCGCCAGCATCGGGGCTGTTTAAACAGACACCCGGTGACTTTTGCCGCCGGGACTCTGTTTAAACACCATGAAGGGGTTAAGGTGGCCAAACACTTTACAACCATCGCAAGACCTTAGTCTTGCGATGGTTGTAAAGTAATTTAAAAAACGTACGATCTGCCCATCTTGGACCCCCTGAGGGGCGGACTTCCGATGACCACAATGCTGAACGGGCAGTGTGTGCACACCGGCCCGTTCGGCATTTGTCTCCCGAGCATCATTCAAACGATTTTCGGCTGGTTTTCTAGCATGCAAACGGTCGCACGTCTTCATTCCCACTGCACGATTCTCGTACGATCGCAAGATTTCCCGCGATTCCCGTACGAGAATCGTGCAGTGTATGGGCACCTTTAGATTTGTATGGTCCCTTACTGCACAGGGAGTTTAATTGTTGGTTAGTTAAGCCTTGTTGTAGTAGCGTGTACAGCATCCTGGAGCACTTTCAAAGGCTTTGGGGTCGGTTCACACCATAAACAGTGCGTTCCAGAGCGTTGCCTCGAACGCACAATCTCATTCCGGCCAGCTTCCTGGATGTAGGGGTGTGGCGGTGCGTTGAAATCAATGGGACCCGCAGTCACGCCCCCTGTCCGTAGTGCTTGCAGCATTTTTTCACAAATCCCTTTCTCAACCCTCATAGGGCAGTCAACTCCATCTGCCATGTCACCCCTACCTACAGCATGACTTTGATTGATGGCCATCAATCACTGATAACACTAAACCAATTTGTTCCCCAAATTTTCTGTACTTTTTTTTCATTATATAGTAAATAAAACCCCCAGTGGTGATTAAATACCACCAAAAGAAAGCTCTATGTGTCCCCAAAAAATGGTATAAAATAATTTTAGTACAGCGCTGCATGACGGAATAAATGTCAGTCAAAGTACCGCAGCGCTGAATACTGAAAATGGCCTGGACAGGAAAGGGGGTGTAACACCGCGGTCAGCAAGTGGTTAATAGAGGTGGTCTTGTTAATGATTACTCAAGGGCATTTTTTGCATTTGCAACACCTGGCTGTGACTTAACCTCTTAACTCCTATGGAAGCAGTAAGGGTGTACTTAGTTTTTCACACATAACGTCTCCATTTTGGCTTTGTTTGTAAAATAAATAATGACGCGGTGTACTGGCATGTATTGTCCATCTGAGGTTGCATTGATCTAAGACCTACTAAGGACCACATCATTTTTTTTATTAAGTCCTGATAAAATTACATGGGAAATTACAGTAGAACAATGAAAATGGTACCACATGGAAGTGTATACATTTATCTTCACTTTGAGACTAAAGACTGCAATAAAAAGAACAATAAATTTGTAATTTATTGTTCTTTTTATTGCACGGTAGATTTGTCTTGGTCAGATCTACGCATCATACTGTTACATCTGGGGGCTTGTGAAAGCGTCATTGCCTAACATTTCCAAGGTTGCGTGATACTTTCCCTCAGCCAAGATGCCTATTCTGACTCCGATTGTTGTGCTTAACCCTTGCCGAGACCTCTATGCCTGGCCTGTATAAGCAGATTCAATCACTGAGGACAATCATTGTCAGATAGCTGAACTCACCAATACCGTTTCATCCACAAAGGTTGCTTTATTCTGTACATCAGACAACAGGATACAGCAGATGAATGGTTTTCAGTATTATGCGGTCAAAAGATGATGCCTTTCCTAGCATACTATGCAGAATACATGTGGCTGTTAGCTGTGGCCATGACACAGGAAGTACTGACCAACAAGAAGGGTGGGGCATACATACAGAGGAAATGTGTCATCATGTGAGGAAAGGAATATAAACCACAAAGGGTCACTAGATGGCAGCATAGGGACTAACAATAAAATAGCTATAGGAAAATGGTTTAAAGAAATAACGATATAACTTCTCATCTGTATTAAAACTTTTATGCCCCATTGGGGCGGCACAATGCCTCAAACTGTGTAAACAACGCAGATAACTTCTGCTACATTTGTGGTGAGGTTACATTTATATCTCAAAAGTGGTATGATGGCAGTGGTAAAAAAAAAAAAAAAGGCATACCACCTATATTTTGGATGCAAAATAGGGGATAAGGAAAAGAGTTGGCCCCCCTCATTATTGTTGCATTAGATGTGCAACTGATCTGCGTCATTGGCTAACCAAGAAGGAACAAGTCCATGACTTTCGCAGTCCCAATGCTGTGGAGGGAACCCACCAATCATAGTGGCGACTGCTATTTTTGCATTGTTCCCCCAATTGCAGAAGGGATCTCAAGAAAGAAGTGTACTGTGGAATATCCAAACATTCCATCCCGCACTGCGTCCTGTACCCCATGATGAGGACTTGCCTATTCCAGATCCACCATAATCCTACTCTCTAGACTCAGATGATGATAAAGACGATGAGCAGGATGCAGCTGATCCGGGGGCTGTCGATGTCAGCGGAACCAAACTTCAGCCCATCGAATGCTCCGCCTGAACTATCACAACTAAATGACCTTGTCAGGGATTTGGAATTGCCTAAGAGTAAGGCAGAGCTACTGGGCTCCAGATTACAACAGTGGAACCTCTTGCAAAAGAAAATGTTACAAATAACTTTTAATTTATTGGTTTTTTATGTATCAATAAAAAGATACATTTATAATGATATCTGTGGCACTATTCTCATTGCTATATCACATAAGGGCAGAAAAGTTTCAGAGCATAATCACACATCCCACTCGTATTTGACATAAAGCTTTATCTTGGAAACTGGAGCCAATTAACACTCAGGACTTAATTTTCCTTTATTAGTGACCCAATTCTGGTCAAATTTAGCTACTTTCATTTCTGAGGCTTTCTCCTTGTAGACCAGTGTACTTACACCCTCTTTGAATTCTAAGGTTTTATGTTCTTTTTGACACAACTGTAGACATTGATATGATGCTCCTTTTTCATAGCCTTTGTTAATAGCTAAAATTCACCTGGTGATCCTGCCTTTCCCCCAAAAATCTGACCATTTCCTGTCCTGGAGCTACAACCCTATTCAGCATCTCTTCAGAAGGTTGATTCCCTTCAGCACCATTGGCACCCAAAAACAGCACTGCCTCATTTTTATATTCACCAGTAGTGGGCATGTCGGAGGCTCCTCCTAGTGCACATGCACTTGAATTGTATACGGAGCTCCAACACTGCTTATGCTATACTGCCAACTACAGCTCCTGCCTGAAGTGCAGGGCTAGGTGGTGACAACTTCCTGCATTGAGGTTACTAAGCAGGAGAGCTGCAACAACTATTCGATTTAGTTGATTAAAATCAACGATGGAAAACGTCATAGATTAGTCGGCTATCAATTAAATTGCCTGTTTGCGGCGGCACACCGCCGCGCACGCTGAGGACATGCCTCTGCTCCTCTCCTCCCTGTAAGCTTCCTGACTCGCCGCTGCCCGCCGACAATCAAGGGCCCACGATTCAAAGTAAGTCACTCAGCAACAACATTCTAAACCTTTTTAATGTTTCCTGTTAAAGAAAAAAAGCGGCACACTGCAGAACGCCAGCAGCTATAGAGGAACAACAAATCCCAGCAATAATACCTTATACAGCCTGTATAAGGTATTATTGCTGGGATTTGTTGTTCCTCTATAACTGGTCAGTGGTATTCTGCCGTATGTGCCGTATAATCATACAGCGCAATGCAGAATACCACCAGCTATAGAGGACTACAAATCCCGGCAATAGTTGTACAGCGCAATGGAGCATAACACCATCTATAGAGGAATACATCAGAGCCAAGCAATAATACATTATATACAGCGCAATGCAGAATATCAGCAGCTACAGAGGACTACTGATCCCAGCAATAGTACATTATAGTATAATGTACTATTGCTGTATTCCTCTATAGCTGCTGGTATTCTGCACTGCGCTGCTGTATAATGTACTATATTGCACACCACACTTTTTTTTTTTTTACTTCCACCGCGCCAAGCTTGCTCCCGTGATGGACTACAATCTCAATACAAACTAGTAGTCCATCACTGGAGCTTTTTTTTTTTTTTAATCAGATTAACTGAACTTAATGATCGGCTAACTAATCGATTTTGAAAATAATAGTTAGCTGCAGCCCTACTAAGCAGAGGAAATCATCTATTTCTGCACATTGTTATGCCCTTGATGTGCATTTTTTGGTAGCACAGGGTGGTCCTCTACAAAAAAAGCGGACCTCTATATCACCAATGAGTTCTGTAGTGACGTGGAGGTTGTCAGGAGGAACTACTGAGCCCAGTTGGGAGACATAGCAGACTGAATCCTGTTGTGTTGGTTTGGGAAAACACTTCAGAGGAGGGTTTTGTTTGAGTAGGTGTGGTAAACCATCAGTCACTATAAAGGCCCAATCAGATTTCAGATAATAAGTGCTGAGCAAATACCACCCGAGAAATAGACCAAGCCCTAAAGAGAACCTTACACAGTATTGTAGGGCTAAAATCGGAGTGTATAATGTGATCTTTAATAGAACAAACAACAAAATACTTTACAAAATGTTTAATGCATGCACATCAGATACAACAATAAATTGAATGAAATCAATAGTGTAAACACTTTACAAAAGCATTTCATTATACATAGTTTGAACGGGGAAAAAAAAAAATCTACATAGAAGATCAGTGGCACGTAAAAAGTCTTTCATAATATGATCCCAGAAAGATAGTACACAAAAATAATAGCACTTGTTCCTTTGTCAGTTTGGGCAATCAAAGTACGTCAGGTTGTTTGAACAGTCGCAAGCAATACTATCAGAAACCATTTAGAAATACCAGTATAAAAATAGCTTGTAATCCAGTTATAAATGGCTGCCGCGTAGCAGACTGCGTCCACCATCAGCCACCGGATTGTAGACTTTGGCATTATGCAGTGAACTGGAGTTCTTTAGATGAACAGACAAAGGCTCAGAGGTCTGTACATGTCAGTTCCGCGTGTGAACCGTGCTTTCAGAGACCGCCCATCTCCACACTGCTGGCGCACACATTCCGTCCCACACGACACGACACATGTGGATATTCTGTGCTATTTTTGGAAAGAGCAATAGGAAGTGATATTGTGAAGAAAATTTCCAGGTGTTCACATGCAAGCTGGATGCAGTTATATGCTACCTGGTATTGTTTGATACACAATACTGGTTTTGTTTTTGCTGGAGGAGCTCTGTGATTGCCAGAAGTTTTTTGAGGACGTGCTGTTGGAAGGAAGGAAGAAACAGACATTTATTACATGGTACTACAAAACGGGACCAACAAATCCTTTTACAACACGCCAGAATTGTACATTTCTCAGCGAACCTCAGAAAATTCCCATGTAATTGGACTATAAGGCCCCATTCACACACCAATCGGCTGGCACGTACAGCTCTGTGCGGGGCCGTACCAAGCAGCTCCCGGGAAGGACAGGTGCTGTGTGTGATTAGTACGCAGCCCCCGTCCTTCTCTATGGGGCTACGCGGCCGTACGCCCCCCTACACTCACCTCAATTGCAGGTCCAAGGGGTGCGGGTTTTCTGGCCGGGACGCATACATGTTCCATTCCGGCGGCGTATGAATACGATCATCCGCACCCCTTGGACCTGCAATTGAGGTGAGTGTAGGGGGGCGTACGGCCGCGTAGCCCCATAGAGAAGGACGGGGGCTGCGTACTAATCACACACAGCACCTGTCCTTCCCGGGAGCTGCTTGGTACGGCCCCGCACAGAGCTGTACGTGCCAGCCGATTGGTGTGTGAATGGGGCCTTAAGCTACAGTGCTTCTCTTGAAGCTGCACTGTACAGTCAGGTGGAGGGGTTTCCGACAACCATTGTGTTCTATAGAAAGGGGGAATTTTGCATACCGGTCATCAATAAAATCTCACAAGATGTGCAGATCCAGAAATGTACAAAATAAAACACACTTCCCAAGGCTTGCTGGCTGCATTGATGTTTTGCCGTCATTGCTGCTCAGCCCCAATGACAACGGTGGGCTGTCAGCATCTTACTTTTGCACGCACAATATTTGAATCAATCTCCACCGAAAAATGAAATTGTTGCTTTTCCTCTACTGAATTCTGTGTGTGCTTTTTTTAATGTAAACACAAAATATATCTCCATCCATCAATGCATGATTCCTGAAATTGTCCACTGATCATCCCTGTGCGCACACACCTTTATATGGAATGTATGAACACACACAATATACCCATCATAGAAACATGAATGTTCCTTAGACTTTAACACAGTACCTGTTGTGCTCCTCGTTCATTGCTGATGGTTCGGAGTTCATCAGAATGTGCCACACACATTTCGTGCAAAGCTGCCAGGTTACGGGACAGGTCAGTCCTACAGTGCTCAGTAGTATCAGGAAGTTCAGGTACATTCTAAAGGAGATAAAACAAATATAAAGTATAAAACACAAATGTAAAGAGTTTTAGAGTGTAAGACACTGAACGCCAGGAGTGAGATGATGACTTCAATGAGATAAGCCAATTAAACGTTGACACTGACAGTCCAGGTCTTTGTCGCACAACAGCCTTTGGGACCATCACTCTGACCCTGGATACAACCAACTATTGGGTCACTGACTTGGAACAAGCAAACAGTAAAGCCAGAACCTCTGTTTTGCATTGATGTTGTAGGTCACCGATCTACTAGGTAGATGAAGCCAGGGTCAGGATGGCAGCCTTAGAGCCTTAACCTTTATAATAAAAAAGAAATACAAGTCAATCTATTGTCTTTGTGTGATCACCGCAGCAACACTCCACATACTGTATTACGAGTGGGGATGTCCAGATACCGGGCATTTACTTGTACTCCTGAAAATGCCCCGATACTAAAGGCCGATACCGACCCTTTACATTTTTTTTTAATCAGGTCGGCTGCCGAGGTCCTGCGCTTGTGGGGGCCTGAGGCAGCATTCCGGAGACCTGGCAGTAGATGACTGACACTGCCTGCCAGATCCCACATCTCCACCTCCCCGGCTCAAGCAGAGTTTGAGGCAGCTCAACACTGCAAATACAGCCTCGGAGCGGGCACAAGCCATTACTAATGTCACCCTGTGACCCAAAACTCAGCATGTAGCAGGCTATTGCCCGCTACATGCTGACAGCTCAGAGCCGCACTGCAGCCTGCTACCCGATTGAAAGCTGGCTCTGCCTCTCTAGAGCCAGCGGTGCCCACCCCAGTCATCGCTGGAGGAACAGAGACGGGAGAAGACTGAACTGAGCGATCAGCGGTTTGTGATTGCTCAGGTCTTGATTCATAGAGCCGATGTGTGACAGCTGCAGCGTCACACATCGGCTCTCAGAGGATGAGTACATTTCACTCTCCCCACAGTTCTCCTTTAAACCCCAAGAGTATTACTGCATAGTATGTTAATGTGTGGTCTTTTAAGGTGATAAAGCATTACAATAAAAGATGGCTCTATGAATACTCTACACCTTGAATCAGATGGGAATGTTATTTCAGCCAGATGAGTGCTAAATACAGTACAAAGGCAGGCAAGGATTTCTGAGAACATGTACTCACCCCTAGTTCATCTAAGAACATGATCATACGATGCTTGTTACTTTTTATGAATGGATTTACACCTTCCATGTACGGTTCCTGGAACACAAAATGTTTGAATACACCTCAGTTTACAATGTTGCCACAATAATGGATTTCTGTGAGTCAAACAGGCTACTCCTGTCACATTTAAAGGGATTTTCCAGAATAAACACATATAACCCTTGCTGGAAACCCGCTCCCCACAAAGCCAGTGTCATAATGTAGAGGGGACAATTCTTCTACAGAATTCAGTTAATCTTCTACAATTAATAATGCTGACTGTCAAATAATGATGTCACTAGTTGGGCAGCAGTATCAGAGTTGAACTAAAGCAATGTTTGAGGTAGGCTGAAGCTAGGGACAGACATTGTGTTCTCCAGCAGAGGGGCATCTTTGGTTAACTCTTGAAGAAACCCTTTAAACGTGTGTGCCACAAATATTCTCAAATCTACAAACATATACAAACAGTTCTTGCTCCGCCATTCAATTAAAAAATGAAAGATACAAAACATTTTAAAGATGCGAGAAATGGTAGAAAAGTGTAAAATGTGTGGCAAGAACAGAATCATTAGACATACAAGTTACACATTTACACCATACAGCTAAATCAGTTCACATTAAAAGCCACACAAGAGACTGCTACAGGCCATTCTACAGAGTACCAATTCAAAGACTGAAGATGAACGGTTGAAAACTGCGCCGTAAGCTTTGCACTAGATGTCAGGGATGAATCTGCTTTCACATGGGAGGTGTCAGTCTGATATGATGGGCATTATTTATCAACATGCATTGTATAAGATCTTGCTTTTGTGCTCCACAGTCACCAAACAGATTTAACAACCATTTCCACCTTTGCAAAAACATATGCCAGCAATGTACAGCGAGTAAACATGAAGCAGGCATATGCAGTTGATGTATATGAACACAGAAACTTAGCTTTCCTCTTCATAGTCTCATGCAAATGTCTGACTCTGTGCTGTGCAAGCAATGTGTGTATAGCCCCCCTGGACAGTGTATGGTATATAAAGACAGAGCTGGTGTTCAGGGAGGGGGGCAGCTGTTTACAGTCTGCATTACAATCAGCCTCTGCAGTCAGACTGATTTTCCTGTGGAGAAAATGTTGAATTTCTAGGTTTCAGGCCTAATAAAACCTTCATAAAACAAATGAAGAACCAGCAATGTGAGTCATGAAAGTGTGCAGACATATACTGCATCACTGCACCTCTTCATTACCACAATAAATGCTGATCACTTACAAAGGTGGAAATGGCCTTTAAGCCATTGTCATCCAGTTGTCGTTCTTTCAGCATAGGGTGAATAGGAATGTGCTTGCAGTGAGACAAGTTGATAAATAAGACTCAATATAGGAACCCATTAGGCTTTCCCTTATTGAAAGAACTCCACAAATTTGGAAATAATTCAGAATATCAATTCCACCATTTGAAGAGGTCCGCTGTCATGAATCTCACTTAAATGATTTGACATTTGTGACTATTTTTTTAAGTTTACATTTGATTCCAAAAAAATGTAATACAAAAGACTACTACTCCTTTCAGGGTACTAGGATTACGTGCAAGGTGTGTCTAAATGACATATGTGGTATCTGCAGTATACCTCATGTCTGCTGTAGGCACTTCACAGTAAAGCAATGGATACACAGACATTGAACCCTCTCTCACAGTAGATTCAGCTGCACTATAAGAGCTCTCATTTACAGCAGTACAAAGGAACGGTCCAATTGCAGCAAGCACTGACTGTCATTTCTATTGTCTGGATAAAGAACAACTTTAGAATGATAGATTTCTGTTGATATCCTGGTAGGTTTTTTTTTTGCTTAGTGGCTACAGTACAGTGAGAGTGGCAAAATAAGATGAGAGATGGACTACACTTACAATGGAATGGAGATCATGCAATGGCAAGTGCAGAAGCGTTACCAGTTAGGAGATTAAAAGGTAGAAAATAAAGCTTTTTTTCTTACAGCTCCAGAGGAAAAAACGCAGCTTTGTGGCACAGCAGCATCATGTCCCTCCCGTGCCAACCAGAATAAAAGGAATTGTTATTAGATTGTATTATGTACTTCGTGCATACTAAGAGTGCATCAAATCTGAACCGTCAATGGTACACACTGTTTGCCAATAATAATTGGGATGGATGGTCTAAAAGAATGATTGGGGTGCTGCTTTGCATTGCACATTAGCATATATTAATCAACAATAATGTAGTTAATAATGAAATCTACTATTTGGTAAGTCAACCTTCACATAAGATACGTGTTAAAAGCTGTATTTTTCTTTGGTTTAGTATACAGCACCAATCACGTCGTGTCACCGAATACACCCGAGAGTGACTATCAGTGAGCTAGAACCGAGCTGCTCACCTGCCTCTTCTCCATTCATAGAGCTTGTACCAATGTTGTTCCACAATGCGATATGCTCTGTGAATGGAGGAGGAGCGGATGAATACAGGATCTGCCATGCATGAAGGGAGGATTTTGCCTCGAAGCAGCAGCATGAAGGAGTAGGGATGCATACCATTAAAAAGGTAACTAATGTGAGTGGTGCTGTATAAAAAATAAAACTTCCGTTTTAAAGTTTATGCAAAGCCAAGTAGGGAAGGATTAGGCTCTTTCTACAGGTTATTTAGTCCTGGTGACCATCAGCGTCAGGACAAAAAGGGAGATGAAATACAAAATGTTACAGTCGTCCTTTAATGGGGATATCCTGTGACAACTTTGGAGAGATTTTCTTGCACTTCTTTTTGCATGTACAGAAAAGGAAATCTCCCCAGAGGGGCATCGGCAACAACATAAATAAACCTTATAGGATTTTTAATCCATTCCTACTCCATCTTAAACAAAAAAGTAGCATGTAAAGTTTGGCTTTTCATACAATTTAAGAATATCAAAAGATGTGGTAAGGTCCCACTTGTATGACATCTTACAGGTAAACAAACGTACTTTCACAGCATCATTTTGTTTTTCTTGAGGTTCCATATTGTTCAGGAGGGCATTTCATTTACAGATTTGTAGGTTTTCACTCTAGTGGCTGCCTTTCTCTCTAACTACTGCGATCAGCACCTTCTATTAAACAGCTACTGAGGTAACAGTATACACCATCTAAGCATTGTATCTGCATTCAAGGAGGCGCAGAATCAATCAGCATGCTATTACAAGTAAGCAGAGCCTGCAAGCATGCACATATGCCTGTCCCTGTGCAACCATCCATTTAAAAAATAGAAACGGATTTGTTTTGATGATCGTACGGAAAGGGTTATTTACATTAAAATAATCACATTCATTTCATATATAAAATGTAAAAAGAATTGTCCTTTATCAGTCTGCTGCTTCTCCTTAACCGGCCCTACGTTACACCAAGCCCTTTTTTTTTTTAAACACAGATAAGCCATTGTGTCATGTTGTGGTAACCCAGATCCCATATATTTCACTCTGATGTTGTCCTCACAAGATCAAAACTTCAATACAACAAAGTATATACTGTAACATTTTTATTAAAGCCCAAGTAAACGTTCAGTTTATATCAGTTAAATAAATCCTTACAGTTTTTTGTCTTTAGAAAGAGTTAAACATCTTGCCCGCGCAAGCATGCTGCATAGAAGGACCCTTGCTCTGTGTATTAGCAGAGATCTCTCAGCACAAGTCTGATACGTTCCTTGCTAATTCAGAGCTAGAATTCTCCAAGCAGGAGGAAGCATTTACTGATTGTAGAGTTGTAGGTGTGACTCGGACGGGGTCTGGGTCCACAACATGACAAGGGACAGACATTCCTGCTCAGGCTGTGACGGCCTTTTAAAGAAAAACAATAAGATTATGAACACTTTTTGTTTTAATGTACACTAAATATACTATATTTAGCCCATTTCAGTTGAAAGTTTGGTTGGGCTTTGATTTTACTTCAAACTGGGACTTAAGGAACCCTGATTTCATTTTCTTATAAAAAAAAAATATATATTTTATTTTATTATGTATTACTTTTCTCTAGCACCCGGTCATACATATGTCTTTTTCCAATGCATGCATTGTAATACAACTGCTATTAGACTGCTCCTATAGGAATGGAGTGGGTTATTGCATGTATTGCCAAAACTGTTACAGATTCTTAGAGAATTTTAGGATATAAAGGCAATTTCACTATGCACAGCTGCAAATCTTCAGATAGCTTTAAGAATTTAAACGTAATCAGTGTAGCAATATTCTTATTACTTGGAGCCCAGTTGCTTTAGGCAGATCTCTATTTTAAATAATATATTCCAGTTTCCTGCTACAGTCATGTACGGGCAGATGGTTACAATTTGCTCTGCTAACATTTTGTGGAAGCAACTACAGGATATGTGAAAATCAACTTCTATATATTTTTGGAGATAAACCATTCATGTTTTCTGTTAAACATTAATGAGTGCATTAAGAACAGCAAATGTGCCCACCTGATCCATGCAAAGTAAAGAAAAATGATCACTTAAGTTTAAATCTATTAAATAAAATGAATAATTGAAAAAGTAAAATGGCATCACTTCAAATCAGGAGCCAAACTGCCTTCCACCCATACACCTGACATGACAGGCTACTGTGCTTGGCCAAAGCAGATGAGCTGTTGGAGAAAGGCCCTGACCAGGCTGTGCTGTGTTTAGGTAAGACTATAAATAGAGCTCTGGTATATGGATGTCTGGCCCTGTTTTAATAGATCTTAGGAAATGTATCGTCTTGCTTATTCAAGCAAATATATCGAGTAAATATTCTTTCAAAAAAATTAATCAGCTAACTAATTGATTATGAAAATAAGCATTAGTTGTAGCCCTAGCGTGGAACCCGTGTCCCTCAATAGACTCAAAGACATAGATTTATGGTAAGAACAACAATCTTATTTTCCCCATCGCCCATTAAGGGACACAGGGATTCAAAAACAGTTGGGAAGTACAAAAGCAGCCAAACTGAGAGATGGGCAATACCACTAACAGATCAGAGATGGAGCCATCAAAAACAGAGGACAACCAGAAGGACCGATGCCAAAAACTGAGCCAGAAGAAATTCCCTGCAGGACAAAGGTAACTGCTACCAACCAAAGGAAGGCTACAGAGGATCAATCTTATGATTAGACCAAGACCAGAGAGATTACTGCCAAGAGAAATGGCTCCACCCAAGGGGACACAGAGCCCACACAAGCTGCACCCATGAGCTAAAATATCCACCCAAAACTGGTGCAACAACGAACTAGCTAACTAGGAAGAATAGCCCAACAACAGGAAGTGATCAACAATACGAACACTAGGACTTTAGCCCAGGACAAAAAAAAGGAGGGAATATTGAACAGAACAGGTTCGAAGAAGACGACAAGCTGGTCTTTAAAAGGAGAACTATGGGGTCAGGGCTTTTCCCCATAGTTCTCCCCATAGTTAACGGGAGGACACAAACTAGCGTCCTCCCGTTAGCCTAAGCTCAGTATTCCGCGAGCTACAGCTCGCGGTATACTGAGACGCCGGAGCGGATCCCGACATCGATGTCGAGATCTGCCCAGCTGCATGAGTGACAGCTGTCTCTGCCTATCTAGAGGCAGAGCCAGCTGTACCCGCCCCCTCCCCCGTCCATTCCGCCAGTCAGCCCTGGAGGATCGGGGAGGGGGGAATCCAGCCCCTCCCCTGTCACGGCAGAGAGCTGTGACAGGATCGAGAAGTGAGCGAACACCGGTATGTGTTCGCTCACCTCCCGATCTACTGAGCCGACCTGTGACAGTCTCATTGTCACAGGTCGGCTAGAACTATGAGGTGAGTGAAAAGCACTCACCTCATAGTTCTCCTTTAAGTAAAAAAGGCCCAAGCCTCACATTTCCAATCATTGGAGCAGGTAGGGCAAGTTCAAGTAATGGAGGTTGAGGTTGCCTGCCTAGACAACCAATCTCGTAAGGAGATATTGAAGGCAGTGAAAAGCCTCCCAGTATAACATTCCAAAGGGATAAAGTACCCTAAGAATTGGGAAAAACCCCAAGTGTAACAACCTGAAGTCAGCTAGACTCTGTCCCTGAGGTCCCCAAGTCATCACACTCTATACACTGAAGGGAATTTATCAAAACTGGAGCAGACAAAATCTGGAGGAGTTGTGCACGGCAACCAATCAGCTTCTCTCTTTAATTTAAAATCTTAACAAACTGAAGAGAGAAGCTGATTGGTTGCCATGCACAGCTGCTCCAGATTTTGTCTGCTCCAGTTTTGATAAATTCCGTCCATTGTTTATAGGAGGCCATGACACGTATCCATATCAGTGCGGCAGCTTAGGAGAAGACAGGCAGGAGGGAGTGATGTGATAGCCGGCCAGCTCGGGCCACCTTTTTTTATTTATGACCTTAGGCAAATACAAGCACTTAACCTTTGCAGTACAGGGGTAGGCTTTTTTTTTTTTTTTAAAGAGGAGTAAACTCTCTTTAAAAAAGCAATGGGTTAAAAACCTTTCTGCAGCAATGAAAATTATTTGAACCTTGAAACTTGTTAACAATTCTTGTCCTAACTTCTGCTGCTTACAAACCAACTGTACAAAAATCAGAGTACAAAATCAAATGTCACTGTACACTCAACCATTATTTGGACAATATTGCACTGCAGGATGTAGTGTATTGCTCTTGCAATGCAGAGGAAATGGCAATTAACAAAAGGAAGCTAGGCAGACCATTAGAACTATTAAACGTGCTGGTCTTTCTTTTGTAGAAATTTTAAAGAAAGACTAGTGAGTACAGTTGCCTACACCATCAAAAGGCACTTGGAAATTGGAGGAAACCCTGACAGGAACAAGTCTGGCAACCCCAAAGCCACAACACAATCAGAAAACAAGTTTGAGTGTTTCAGCTGATTATCTGCACAAGGAGGCTCCTTTGAGTCAAAAATGTAGAAAACTATTTAAGCAAAATTATTCATTATTATTTTTTATCTCTAGTTGTTTATTTCTTCCTTAGTTTTATTTCAGAGTACTTTGAGATATTAAACTGCATACATTCCAATAAAAAGTAAACTTGAAAAATTAGGGTGTTAAAAATGTTTTTGATTGTTATAAACCGTTATGGCACACTGTAATTTAATAATAAAAAAGGAAACTGCAGGCCACAATTTGGAATCATCAAGGTAAAAAAATATGATTTTTTTTAACCCTGAATTCTGGGTCGCCTTGTTTCTGGAAAAAAGGCGACCCTTGCAGTGGGGAACCCCCTGCACTGCAAAATTGCAGTTCATCGACAGGGATTGGCAAACTGGTCAGAATTGAAGGAATGATGGATGGAGCTAAAAGCAGTAAATTCTTGAGGGAAACCTGTTTCAGTCTGCCAGAGAACTGAGACTGGCATAGAGGTTTGAGACTTCGAGGAGGACATTGACCCCAAGCATACTGCTTAGTATGTGGTTTAGAGGGGAAACATTTGGAATGGCCTAGTCAAAGCCCAGACCAAAAATCCTAGCAGCTAGATGTGCCAAGCTTATAGAGACATACCCCAAGAGACATGCAGCTGTAATTGCTAGAAAAGGTGGCTCTACAAAGTATTGACTTTGGGGGGGGAGTAAATAGTTATGCACACTGAAGTTTTCTGGGTTTTTTTTTGTCTGATTTCGTGTTTGTATCACAATTAAAAATATTTAGCATCTTCATAGTGGTAGGCATGTTGTAAACAATCAAATGATACAACCCCCAAAAAATCCATGTTAATTCCAGGTGGGAATGCAACAAAATAGGAAAACTGCCAAGAATTTCAATTGTTTCACAGGTTCGATAGAAACTGTTGGTGGTAGGTTGTTTTGAGTCATTCAGATGTTTTGAAACCTGGTTACATGTAAAAAGAAAAAAAAAAACAACTGCATAGTGTATGGCACGTATGGCTCGGATTTTAATACATCAAATACATACTGAAGATAAGACCAGGTTTGGAGCAATAGTATTTGTCACATCCCAACACAGCTAACCAGGAGTGTCCAGCCATTGGATCCATATTCTTTGTAAACCTAGCCTAAAAGTTGTATGCTACTTTTTTTTTTGTCTTATACAAACTCAGTTTATCTGCATCCATGCATTTTTAAGTAGCATATGTATATGGAGATACATACATCTGTAGTATCATTTTCCTGATGAAGAAAATGGCAAAGGTTTAAAAAACTGTAACAGGCGATTCCATTCCAAAACTATGGTAGTCTAGAAGCTCACACACTTGTGCAGTACAGCCTTTTAAATTGTTGACTGATAAAAGGAAAAGTGCGCAAGACTACCTATTTGGTAAGAAGTAGGGATGCACCGATACCAGTTTTTCGGCGGTATCGAGTACTGATATTTTGCTTTTGGTACAACTACAATACAGAGATAACCAATACTGGTGCTTCCGCTGGAATAGAGCTGGCTTCCTGGGCAATCAAGAAGCCGAGCAGCACGTAATGACATGCTGTCAAGATTCCTGTTGTTTGCCTGGCTCGATTGTAATTGGCCGGGAAAGCGGCTTCCCAGCCAATCCGCCTGGAGGCGGCTGTTTGGCCAATCAGGATGGTGCTGGCTTTCTGGCCAATCAGGAAGCCAGGTGGCGAGTAATGACCTGCCTCCCGGCTTCCCGATTGACCAGGAAGCCAGTTCCATGTTCCCCTACGGCATTGCCGGTCAGAGGAAAGCTTCCTCTGACTGGCAGTTCCGATATAGGGGAAGGTATCGTAGCATTTGGGTGAGTATGAGTACTGGCCCAAATACTCGGTATTCAGAATGATACCGATGCTAGTATCTGTGCATCCCTAGTAAGAAGAATTTTAAAAAACTTGCAGTACCGGAGAATAACTAGATCTGATTGGTTGCTATAAATTATCCTTTTATTTTTTTCTTAACCGCCGAGGGTCTAGATAGACTGTATTGTCTCAAATGTGTTTTGCTGTTTATTTACTTACTTTGGATCCAAATTCAACCAAATTTGCTAAATTTTGCAGAGACTTGGCGACCAGCGTCAACGTTCTTGCAGCAGTTGGAGAAGGAGAATCTATAAGAGAATAAATATTGATCCAGTAAAAATTAGCTTTCTGAGAATAATATACAGGTAATCCCTATGAAAAATGGACAAGTACTAGCTATAATACAAGCGTTTGTAATTACATAATTATGTGCTTATTTATTTCCTTTTGTTTCCATCAAAGCACATGAGCACAGACAGTTTAAAAAAAAAAAAAGTACTTTTCCTTTAAATGCACAAAGCCTCCACATAAAAGCAATGCAAAATAGCAATTATCACTGTGAAGGAACTCAGAAAAACTTGGAGTCAGCCGTTTTGCTTGCTGCAAAGAGCTGCCAGACTCATATGCCCTAAGGTCGCATCAGACGATGCCTGAACTTCCACCTGATAGAACTTAGAGAATGGGTGAACAGAAGACTGGGTTGCAGCTTTGCAAATCCAGGGAAACAGAAGTCTGCTGCCAAAAAGCCCAAGAACCAATGGCCTGTTTGAAGTGAAAGGCCAAGACCACAATAAAAAGGAACGAGACTCTAGCCCTCAAGAGCACCTTGGCTCACTACCTAAGACACATGTCTTGCAGAAGTGATGGCAACAAGAAACTCAACCTTTGAAATTAGACTTCAAAGGAAAATAGCCTTGATAGGTTGGAATGCAGTTTCTGAAGTGACCAAATTTAGATCCCATGGAGTCATCGGTGAATGCACAGAGGAAGCCGCATGAGAGACAACCTGCACAAGTATCTTAGTCAAAGAGTGGGAAGCTAGAAGTCGCTGGAACAAGATCCCAAGCGCTGAGATATGCCCCTTGGTGGTACTAAGGGTCAGAAGCTGACCCAGGCTCATTTGCAGAAAGGACATGAATCTTCCCACAGTAAATTTTGTGTGATGAAAAGTTTTTTTCTCTTGCACCGAACAAAGTACTGTATGTCTTCCATGTGCGATGGTAGACCTTGTGGAAGCTAGATGTCCTAGCTTTTAGCATTGTGTGGGAATAACCAATACAAAGATGTCCCTCAAGACCTGAGCTTCAACAAGCATGCCATTAAATCTAGCACATGCAAAGCAGGATGGTAATCTGGTCCTTGGGACAAAAGATCTGGATGAGCCCATGGAGTATCTGCCAGGAGATGGATCAGGTCAGAGTACCAAATCTACCTTGGCCAGTCCGGATCAATAGGGATCACCAAAATGCTCTCCATCTCAATAATGTAGTAAAAACATGGAAGGAGTTTTTAAGGGGAGGAAAGGCATAGTTTGGTGTGTACTGATCACACACAGCCACCAGAGCATACCCTGCTTCCCCTAGAGTATATCTGCACCTGGAGATAAACCTGTCAAGTTTGTTGTTGAACATTGACTCCAGGAGGTCCACATTCAATGTTCCAGACCTGTGACACAAGTGCTGGGGCACCTTCTGGTATACAGACCATTCTCACGAGGGTCCAGACACTGTCAACTGAGAAGGTCTGCCTACCAACTGTCCACACCTGGGTTGCAAATGGTGGACAAGGCTGGAACTTATAGTTATGCCCAGGACAGAATCCAATCTGTCTTGCAGCAACAAGACTTCTGGTTCCTCCCCGGCGTGGCCTGGCGGCAGCTAGTAGTTGCTTAGGATTTGAAAACTGGGAGTGCCCAAAGACAGACAAGTAGGAACAGAACAGAGATCACAGATCCACTTTTCTCTTGCATAGAAAGTGCAGCAGTTGGGTAATGGTTCAATGCTAAATGACATGAGAGTGTGGAGTACATGTGACACTCCACTCAGTGGATGACGTCAGCGGTCAATCCCTCAGTGTTCATCCTTTCCGTGGTATAACTGGTGGTAGAGAAATATTCAAAAAGTGCCCAATGATGCATATAAGAAGGTAGCTCTCAATGCTCATCCTGATTGGCCTATTAACAGAGTGAGACTTCATACTGGGAAATTCGCTGCAGCAAAGTTTTGGACCTGGAAAGGGCTGCGCAGCCAACTCTTTACCACAAGGGGTCTAGAAAGTGCCTAATGTGGAACGCAGAGCTTGAAGATCAGTTCTGGACTGGACTCGCAATGTCGAATCCAACGAGGTCAGAGTGCGGCACTCCAATAGCTGACATATAGAAACCAGCTCAAGCAGTGGTGTAGCAAGGAATCTTGACTGAACAAAAAAAAGTTTAACAAAGTATCGAAGAAAAAGCTGACAAAAAAAAAATGGTTAGACTTTTCTCAGGTCACAAGCAAAAACTGAGGCATGCTGAGTAGAGGGATTATTCTGGGTAGGCCTACAGATTTTTTGTTGTTTGCCAGTATCCAATTCTCCTGTAGACAGCAGTATAACCCGACAGTATATGATTTCCAGTGTCCCTAAATGGACATGAAAGAAAGGAGTACTTTTTGGTTGCAAAGACATTCATTGCTAGTTTTGTGCATTTAATTTAGATTCATAAGCCTAGAGATTTCCCATTAGACTGACCCCTGTGAATTCAGCAGATTGTATTGCGAAATGAATGTATAGTCTTCATATCAAATGATTTGGATTGCAGGAAAGGCAAGAAAAATAATTCATAGACCAACAATCTTGCTTACTGTAGAGGGCAATAAAATTAGCAGTAGCTGCTCTGTTCAATAAGTTTAGTGATACATTAAGATTCTGGACTGCCTAAAAAATTTGGAAAAGCTAAGAGCAAGTTTTTGTTGCATTAACCAGTTCACACCATGCCTGGCGAGAGGGCTGTAAAGCTGGCCAAACACCAGGAGAATTTTATTTGAAAAAGTTTGTTCTCAGAACGTTCTTATAATTTTCTAATAGTTGATGGGGTCAAATCAATGATCAATTTGACCACATTGACGAAAAAAGTTGAAGGATCAGGATGGAAAATGTTTCTCTAAAATAATTTCTAACAGCGCGTGTGGTTTTCCTTCGGGTAACTTAATGTATTACAAAATTGAATGTTAAGTCAAAATGATAATCAAACCAAATTTCAGACAATATTTGTCTGATGGCATCGTTGAATGGTCCAGAAACAACTTTCGTACAAATGTTAGTTTGAAAAATCTACCAGTGTATGGCCAGCTTTAGAATATCGAAACTCGGCAGTCTGCAAGTTTGGCCCTCTCCCTGACATGCACGGAACATGAGACAGAGCCTGCTATTTCTGTAACCCATCATCATTTTTCATTCTTTTTAATTGTGTTATTTCACTGAAATCATGTTGTTATTTTCCTTGGGGTCATTGCAAGTAAACTTAAGATAAACAGCACCAGGTGACTGCAGATCTCTTCAAGATCTTCTTATAATTTGAGATCAAGCACCAAGCAATTAACAGATACATGTTGATCACATTTACATACAAATCATACTCTAATGCCTACAACTAGAGGTGGTCTTGGTAGCATGCTGGTGGAAAGGAGAAGGATTTACATTTTTGCATGCCTTAAAGAAGGAACTTAACCAATGTCTCCCAAAACAGTTACTTTTATGGCATGCCACCTGTCAAAGTTGCCAATGTGCTTATTTCAGTTCTAAACCATACTTTAAAACCCTTAAATGGCTGGTGTCATAGCTTGTCACATGCGCAGCACCATGGCAACGGCAATTCAAATAGAGGTTAAGATGGCACCTTCCTAGGCTGTAAGGCAGTGGTTCTCAACCTTTCTAGGGCCGGGACCCCTTGGTAACATTTGCCAAGTTGTGGTGACTCCCAACGGTAAAATTTAGGGATGACGCGGCTGCTGCAGCGACATCTGGAGGCGTGGTAGGAGTACTGACACTGCTGTGCTAGGAGAAAGCTGAGGAGGACTCTCACCTTGCACAGCGACCCACAGGTTGACAACCACTGCTATAGGCAAAGACCGGACCGGGCTCTGCAGCTGGAACTAGAATAATTGGATTTAAAGTGTGTGGCTATATAACGTATGAGGTACATACTCTGCAGTACTGTCACTGATAGGGATGGGCTCGGGCGTGTTCGCAGCTCCACATGCCGAGCCCGCCAGGAAGCTGACAGTGCGCAGTGTCAATCACAGGCACTGAGACATTGCCCGATCTCTGCAGCTGCGGACCGGGAAAATGGAATGCATAGCTAGAGGTGTGTTTTACATATTTTTTTGCTTGAATACATACATATTGCACCCGCCCTCTCCTGCTGTCAATCACTAGAAGGGGACCTGATGGAGAACTGCAGGTCCCCCTCTGCTGATTGGCAGCATCAGAGGGCGGTTGCAATAGCTAGTTTGCTATTGGCTTTTGCAAAGTGAAATAGCCAATAGGAATCTAGCTATGCATTCCTATGGTTTTTTTTCTGACTAGGCGACCCCTGGCAAATCGTCATTCGACCCCCGAGGGGGTCCCGACCCACAGGTTGAGAACCACTGCTGTAAGGGATATGTTCTGCTTTAAATAATGTTGGCCTAGTCTAGTGGCAGTGTTAGGAGAACTTCACTGGTTGCCAAGTAGCAGCACAGTTATATTTGAGATCTTAGAGGAGTTATAAATTAAGTTGGTATTACAGTTCTAATATAAACAGGTCTGTCTAGAGGTAAAATATATTTCCACTTTCACAGCCAAATTGGGATAACACCTATTGTAAATTGGTTACATGTTTCCATTCACATAGGATAAGCTAAAAGAAAATTACAAATAGCTTCCTGCAGTTTAAATTGCTTTTACTTAAGAAGCCAATAAACTCTGACTTAAGAGTTAAAATGTCTACCTGCTTCTCCTTTTGCAATGTTAGGAGGGGCTGTGAGGGGTTAAAGGATTACAACCTTGGCTTCTCCAATGCATGTTAAATGAAGTTAATGAAAGAAACACAATCCTCAAATTTCAGTCCTAAGTCTTTCTATAAGAACAGATCACTGTGAAGGTACTCGTGCAATCAGCCATGTTGCCTGCTGCAACATCACATCTAAAAAGGTATATTGTTTGGCATGCTGTGAATAGCAACCCATAAACATATAGAGGGGTTCTCTCAAATTAGACTGCAAAAGTGGAAATACACAAAGTCCTGGGCACTGTCAATAACAACACTACCCACTATAAATAACAGGACAAATGCAACACATTCTTACATTACATGCTACAATACAATTCATTTGCAACACTAAGGCAAGCAGATTAAGGATTATTTTTTCCTTTACCTGAGATGATATTAAACATCCTTGGATTAAGGATAGCAGGACAGATTAGTCGAAGAAATACAAAGCCACTGAAAATACAGACAGGAGAGGATTAATAAAAAAAAAACTTTAAATTTACATAAATATTATAAAAGGGAAAGAAGCAATGCCCACTAGCATAGCTGGCAACATTGCCACTTATTTCTAAAGTTCTATGATTAGGTTGTAGCTACTGATAATGATATAATGAGGACCCATTGATACTAGTGATGGTGAAAAACTAAAGGCCAACAATGTCTAGCAATTAAGGCAAAAAACTTGTTTTTACACACTACAGCCAAAGCACTAGAATACCCTGTGCACAAGCCCCCTCCCCAAAGACCAGGAATTGCCTTCACTGGGTGATGTTTCGTGTGTACAGAACATTGGAATGTACAGAAAAGCACATCAGCCGAGGTGGTTGTAGGAACTGACAACTTAATGACAGACACCGATATTTTAGCTAAAAGTCACATTTGTAAAGGCTGCATGAAACTGCCAGCAATTAAAATATTTTAAGCATTCCAGTCTAAATAAAAAGCATGATGGCAGCTTATAAATAATTGTGTCACCATCATGACCTGCAAATGATTCGCCTCATATCTTTGCAATGGGACAAATAGGCTAGGTTCACACCTGGACGACTGCTGACCGCCAAAGCCGATCGCACTGCAGGTGCCATTATTGTCTAATGGCACCCCAGTCGCGCCGGGTGGTTTCCTACCGCGGTTCCGCCCGTGCAATTGAACACAATCTGGGCTAAAAAAGCGTTGCATTGTGTGGAGCAAAAAAAAAAAGGCATTTGTACCTTTTTTTGCATTTGCCGTGGCTGTAACCCTATTGACATCAATGGGGTCGTGCAGCAACCGCTGTGTGCACCAGCACACGATCGCATGGTCCCGGGACGAGCGTCCTGGGTGTCGCTCAGGTCTGAACCTAGCCTTACTACTATGTAGTTCAGTATCTGAAACTGGGAAATTATTTGCACTAAGCCTTACCTACTCATTACATTGTACAAAATTATATCGCAGACAAAAGCTGGATGGTTCCTTCAGTCTCAGAGGACACAAGTCTATTTTTCCCCTTGACATTCATCATGCTGCATGTAGTCATGTCAGTGGCATTGGAACATCATAAAATACAGAAACGGTAACGTTTTTCTAAGGTTGGGTCTCTTCTAAACTAGATATTTACGCAACTTCTTTTTATTTCAAGTTCTCAAAATGTTAATATTTTAACAAACTAATACATTGCTTTTAGACCCATTCTGCTGTCCGGATTAAGCATTTCATTTAATAAAGATAGAAATAGAGAGCTTGCTATAATAAATCTAGAACACAGTAACACTATAGCAGCTAACAGCCAGCACTATCGGACGGCCCAGTAAGTGCCAGATCTGACTCACCACCTGTCAGACAGGTAAGTGTTAAACAGGCTGCCCATGTTTCATTTTTGCAGCAAGGTGACAAGGCTGCTTTTAAACAAGCCCTCACTAAGTTATTCTCAATGTCTAGAGCAGAAACACTTATTTCAGCAGCTCAGCTCTCCCCCGCTCCTCTTTTTTACCATGACCTGGCAACCTGCCAGCTTTCTATTGAACAATTTCACTGCATATCTTGCAAACTTTGAGGATGAATTACTCCACAGCAGCTGCAGCTACTGAGGTCACCAAGTGTTTGTTTTAAAGCTCATATACTGCTGGTTAAGTATATGGAAATATTTGAATGTCCATAGCCTAGCCACAGTATTACTTAAATGTAGGTTTTCATTATTAATCTACTGAAAAAGTTAATTGCTATGTACAGTTTTATAATTGCTTCAAAATATAGTACAGTCACTTACCTAACAACTCTGGTCCTCATAGTTGTGTTAGAAGTCCACTTTTGTTGGACAGATCTCTGTAAGCACCCATATATATACCTCAAAGTACTGTTAAAAATAAAAACACAAGAAAAAACATTGGATTAAAAAATAAATTATTCAAATTCGATTGGTCCCTAATCAGTGGCTCGAAAAGCTGGGTAGCTTCCATAACCACTCAAAGATGTTCAGCACCTATCTATTATTCTGTACCCATAGTCTGCAACAGAGTGCTGACAAGCATTCCTAAAACCTCATAATTATGTACTGATCAGAATAGCTCAATATACATTAATCACAATCACTCATTTCTACCCAGCAAGCAGGAAAAGCTGTTCCACTCACATGTAGAAAGAGCACACAGCATTGCTTGAACAAATCAATTTTATCAACTGGTTATGGTTCAATCAAGGCATAACCAGTTGATCCTTCAAGCAACTGTTATAGTGCCGTTTGCACTTTTGTATTGTTTTTATGTCATATTAATAAACGGATTTACACCACATAATAAGCTTATTTTGAATCAGTTCTCGGGAATTGCTGTACGAGATCTTATCCAACCGCTAAGAGAAGTTTTCTCAAATGTTATTACCTGGTTGTAACGTAAAGTGGAGAACCAAAGGGATTAACTACCGAGAGTGATGGGAAGGTAAAAAGGGAAAACATCCAAGTTTCATAGCATACAAAAGTCATTTATTTTTCTCTAATAGATAGCATTACAAATATACACAAAAAGAATGGTGACTTACGGTGGAAGGATTTCTGCTGCCATAAAAATCTTCTCCACCAATTCAGATAGTATGCCCAGAAGGTGCGCTAAATTAGTGTGCACATCTTCATTCTTTTCCAACTTTGAAGGATTTAACTGTAAAAAAACAGTAGGATTTCACAAAAGCCAAATAAACAACATACAAAATGTTGGGAAATCATTATTGATAGGATTTATCTATTATAGGACAAAGAGTGTAAACACACACAGTGACACCTAGCTAAATACAGTAATACACACACAGTCCAACTGTGCAATGATGTCACTGTGGCTCCTGTATGCAAACTGGAGCAAAGCAAGCTAGGACAAAAGAACAGCTGTTGACAATATACTCGGGAGTTAAATCTTAAAAATGCATTCAAGTACCTTAACTATTAAGAAAAATGTATCTTATTTGTGACTATAATTTCATAGTTTCAATTACTAAATGGCTAACTAAACGTGAGATTGTAGTCCATCACGGGAGTGAGCTTGGAGCTGTGACTACTTTATAAACACACACATGCACCATGGGGAACAAAAGTAGCCACCCTCCAGAAGGAAGGACAGTGTCAGCACCAATTCAGAGATGATTTGAGAATATATTTTTTAAATTGAACTGCCGAGTGTAGTGTCAATTTAAGGTTTAATATTATATTGGCTAAAATTAGCTTTTTTTTGCTCTAGTTTATGTAAAGTTCCTCTGCGTCCCTGATTTTTAATAAGCAAAATGGCTTTATGACACCATCTATCAAAATAAGGAGCACTGAATAAAACCAAAAAGAAAGAGGGATACATTTCCTAGGTTTACCAGATGCCCAGGCAGTAGACAATGTATAAACATTTGGTGTAAAGCTGGCCCCATTGGGACAATCCCCTTTCAACAAAAGTCAATTTGACAGATCTCAGCTGACCAGTGACTGCAGCCAATCAGATGCACCCTTACACCCTTAATAGAAGCTTGTATAGAAGTGCATGAATAAGCTACATAAACATAACTTGTCACAGCTTTTTTTTTCTACATAACTTTTGCAAAATGTCCTATTAAAATGGAATATTATGCTTTCCGGATTCATGGCCTTTAAAGCCACCTGAAACTGATGTGTTTTAAAAACTATGCTAACAGGGTAGAAGAAAGATGGGGACATTTGAAAAAGGGTCAAAATGAGGAGTACAAACCAAACTGAAGTTCAATCTTTTCCCTACAGTAAAACGTAAAAGGGGGGGAAAAAAGGTTTTGGCTGGTTTTCCATTTTAAACTACAAATATTTCATTCCACCTCTTCAGATAAAGCCAAACCAAGTTCCAAAAGACGTGATGCAGGCATAGAACTAATCTGCATGGCCGTGATTTTTATTTCAGAAAAATGAAGGTGAACAAACCTCTGGAAAGTTAGTGTAATATATTTTGAAAGAAGCTTGTGCCCCCTACAGCCAATACACTAAAAGAACAGGGTCCAATATTGTCCTACAAACATCACTTATTAGCCAATGTTTTGGTTCTAGTAAGCACCTGAAACTTTGCATATTCTTTTTATGTTATTTGGCGTTTATATAGCCAAATTGGTTGATTTTTGTGGTCCTATAATAACTAGCTGCTCTTGGAAACGGTCTGTAATTCTGTGGATGTCGCCACTTTCTTTATATGGCACATATAATATGCCATCTGAGGAGCTACATGTTAACGGTATGTTTTTGAAGGGAGCTGGGACATCCAAGGGTGGAATGTACAGGAAAAGTCCAGTATAGATTGGTCAACAGAGGGGTGCCCAGCTCATTTAACTCTTCGGCTGCCATGACATGGAAGAGTGTTCATTTCGTTGACTAATAACTTTCGTCAACAACACTTTTTCAGTGACTAAAACTAGATAAAAACCAAGTTATGATGACTAAATCTAGAACGAAAATATATTGACATTATAGTGACCTAACTAAAACAAGGACAAAATGTTTGGGAAGAGATCCAATCAGAACTGATCTCTTTGGACTTCCAGTTCCATCCTGAAAGGACGGCTAATAGGTAATTGGTGCAATGGCATTACAGCCAATATAGCTTTTCATTTTAGTATTTTAGAGTAGCACTTCTGCTTGAAAGAATAAAGAAGGTCATCTGCAAGTTGTTATAATCAATGCATAGCTAATTACTGGTCCGTTGTTGAAAATACTCAATAGTATTGTTTCTTTATAAGCCGTGGTTTATTCTAATTTTAAGTTAAATAAAAAGACATGTTATATATCACAACAGTTCAATCTGTCTGTATTGCATGTTCAAACCTTAATACCATAAGTAATAACAGGTTACCAGATGTTTACTCCGGGAGTATATAATAAAATTGGAAATTCTAGAGAAATTACTCTAACTAAACCCATTAGATTTTAGTCGACTAAATCTACTGAAATCTTATAATATTTAGTCAACTAAAACAATTCAGATAAACTAAATGGCATTTTAATCAAAAAGACTATGAATAAAACTAAACTGAATTTTGCTGTAAAAATGTATACTGATACCTGCTAGCTAGTCAAAGGGATAATACCTATTTTAACATACACTTGTGTTTTAGATGCATTTTACAAAATTGGCATAACTTAAATTGGTTCTCGTGGGTACACATTTACTTACCTCACAAGACTGTTTGCTTTCCATTATTTTTAAAATGGTGTCTTTCAAAGCATGATGAACAAATGGGGTAGCAGTAGCTTTCATATATTGCTCCATGAGTGTGCTTGCCAAGGTTGTGGCACGGAACAGAGTTGTAGCTTCATCTAAATTGATAAAGAAACATAAATCAGACACTATTTTTCTCACACTGAACTAAAGCAATGCTGTAATCTAGGTAATAACTAATTTAAAGCATTTGAATAAAAACTATAGGTAGCAATACTTCAAGTGAACCCGTGCCCAGACTATGCAAACGGAGTATTTAGATGTTCTGCGCAAGCAGTAAGACCACTTTAAACCAAATCCAAATTCACTTCTGTAGCTCAAGGCATTGTGGAGAAATTCATTGTTAAGGTGCACAAAAGTTCCTATTACAAGTTCTTGGCAGCCTACCAGGCCTCTAAAGTAAACATAAAGCAGGTGTTTCTAAGGTGTTAGAAAGTGACTGCAACTGGTCTGCAGAGTCTTTGTGGTGACCTCTGTGGATCTTTAAAAAAGGAACTACTTCACAGTACGTGCAGTGGCAGAGGTCAGAGTGGTTGTTAAGAATAGGTTTACTGTATATAGTCTGGGAACCGGTACACTGTCTGACTTTCAGCAAAACAACACTTTTGTTCTGGTTAAACAGCCCTAAGCTTTTTAGTGTAATGATTAAAGTCAGCACCCAAAAAACAGGTCAGGACCCATTTCTTGCTGCTTAACAATTTTATCTTTTTTTTTCTTTTAACAGCAGGTGGAACATTAGGTTACATATTGTCTGTACAATTCAATCAATACTTATGATTTCTTTTTAGATACTATATATTGTTGCTACTAGCAAGTTTTTAATTGATGTTTTGAAGTATGTGAAACATGTCAGAGGTTAACCTTGAGTTCCAATGAACTTTATCGAATTCAAATAAAGCGTTATGCAGCGAGGACTGGTTTGTGCACGGATACATTTTTTATGTGGCGCGGTGTTTGCGCAAATGTTTATCAAACCAGTATTTTTAGGATAAAATACACTAAAATGAAATTGAGTGCACAGAAACAGAATATAGTGCCCACTTTTTTGGTAAAATATAAACTACAATAACCAAAATTTTCCATAGGCAACACTTTAAACGCTTTTACGGCTCATCAGTTTAGTGCCAACAGTGATTGATGGGCCTAGAATTATTACTCTCACGCTGACGCTCGCGACGATATGTAACATGTGTGGCACAATTTATGTTTTTGCACGTAGGCGCATCCGACGCGTGTTTGCGTTGTATGTGCGTGCATGTGGGGGGCGGGGGATTTTTTTTGCATTCTTTATTATGTTACTTTCATTTTTACAAATATTATTATTTTTTTACACTCAGCTTTATTGCTATAGCATAGGGGGCTAACAAACAATTATCAAGTATGGCAAATATAATGTGACAGGTCCTCTTTATGGAGCCATCAGGGGTCTTTCAGACCCCTAATGTTACCTAGGGACCCCAAAGAAGCTGATGAAGCAGAGATCTGCTTCACCAGCTTCTTCTTCTGGCTCCAGGAGCCGGAGACTGTGCCCAGTGACACCGGAAGTGATGTAATGCACATCACCTCCGGGTCCAATGATCTCTCCTGCGATCTATCAGGGGAGATCCACCACACGGAGCTGGAAGTGGTTAAGCTGCAGCAGGTTTCTGTGGACTGACCTGGAGTGGTAACTACCTTTGTGAATGATTAAACAGTAACTCAACTTTCATTTTAAAAAAACAGCTTAGCAGTGACTGCACATTAATGTCCAACAGAACTGAATAGGACATTGCTACTGCAATATAACCCCATCCAATTCAAGCTTGAACTTTAAAAAGAATGCTTTAATAAAACTCTTAAAATGTTCATTTTAGGCTTTTTGGAAGTATTTACTTTACAGCACAAGGCAAATACGTGTCATCATTTTGATACCAATAGGCCTATGAAGACAAGCACATCATTCCTATTGTGAAGCATGGAGGTGGATCTCTGCTGTTGAGGGGTTCTGCGAGTTACAGCAGCAAAAGGAAATTTAGTAGAAATTGAAGGCAAGAAAAATGCAGCATATTTAAAAAAAAAGAAAGAAAGAAGAAAAACAATTTTTCAGCTTATAAGCTGCCCATAGGTTGCACTTGGATATTCCAAAATAACAATGATTCAAAACATAAGGCAAAGTCAACCCTTCAGTAAAGGTTCTGAAGTGGCCATCACAATTTCCTGGACTTAACATTATAATACTCTTTGGAGAGATCACAAGTACGCACAAAATGTTCAAGCCGTCATTGATGCTAAAGAAGAACTAAGGGTATGCAAACTTTTGAACAGGCCCATTTTACCATTTTATTTTTTAATACGATGGTTTAAATATTGTGCTTTACTGTGATGCCTTATAGTTTAATTGGAATGACATCAAAAATGTATGCGTTTGGTCCAATTACTCATGTTGTTTAACATGGCCCACACCTTACAAACTCTGCCAGAAGTATGTCAACTTATGAGCACAACGATATTTATTAAACTTGTACATTGCCAATCAGATATTTGGTCATTAAGATTTGTATAGTACCTTCCGCGCTAATCTCTCGGTCATTTAGTGTTCGCAGAAGTAACGACTCCAATTTTTCATGTAGAAAAATCCGTAATAAAATGCTAGCTAGTAGTGTACGATCTTGTCCACACACGTGTGATAATGCTGTGACTACATGTAGCTCTTTTTGAAGAATTAGCTACAAAAGAGAAGAAAGACAAAATCAAGCAAACATACATATTGTGATAAGGTTATACAATACCACACAGAAATCAAGTGCATTTGTTCCTCCCCCTGACCTTTAAAGTGACATTAAACCCTCAGATTTTTTTAACATAAACCAATACTGTAATGTGTGCCTTACTGTAATCCATGGTAGTTTCCCTTCTCTTTGCTGCTCTTCCTTTTAAATCTGTATCTCTTCTCATGCTGGGGGAGAACTTCTGTTTTGCAGCAGACTGCCTTGTCTCAGGAATGGATACATGGTGTCTGTGTATAGGTTTGTAACCTGAGCCAGCACTACAGGAAGAGGCCCTGAGCTGCAAAGGGAAGTTCTCCCCAAGCATGAGAAGACATGAGGATTTAAAAGGAAGAGCAGCAAAGAGAAGGGAAACTACCATGGATTACAGTAAGGCGCACATTACAGTATTGTTTTATGTTAAAAAATCTGAGGGTTTAATGTCACTTTAACTTATCTCTAACCCTCCCCTCAAACATTAAAGCCCATTTCTACGTTTGCGGAGATATATATATATTAGGGATGCACCGATACCACTTTTTTAAGGACGAGTACGAGTACCGATACTTTTTCCCAAGTACTAATCATCCAATCAGCGGGAGAAGCGGTCAGAATGGAGCAGATGACAGAGGAGGTCGCGGCCATCTTGCTTCATTGAAGACGCGATGGAGATCCTGTGTGCAGCGGATTCGGGTCCCTGAAGATGACGGACGCGGCACAGGTACTCGTTTTATGTATTGGAGTATTTGCACAAGTACTCATGCAAATACTCGGTATTGCCACCGATACCGATGCTTGTATCGGTGCATCCCATATATATACATATGTATGTGTGTATATACACATACATATATACATACATATATACACCAGCAAAGTACACCAAATTACATGAAGCAGCCAAATGCGGTTGCTGTATATGAACACAAAAACATACTTTTTTCTCTCAGCTGTCCTTTTGATCTCCTCGAGGAAATGGCTGCCTCTGTGCTCTGCAACCAGTCTATTTAAATTACAACTGAGTTACGCCCCCCCCCCTGCCCAATCATTAGTATTCATACTGGCAAATCATACGTTTTTAGGATAAAAAGCACAAAAGCATTTTGGCTCCTTCACCCCTGCTGTGGTCATTAAGATCTTATCTGGAATTAGGCACAAAAACAAGTGAAAGTCACACTGCTGGATTATTCTCACCAATAATTTTTCTTCAATGAAAACAAAACCTAGCACTAAAGTGGAGCTGTTGCCAGTAGGTTTGATGTTTTATTCCCTAGGAATATTAAAAAGAGGCAAAATTGTCGACAATTGAAAACCCATTTCTCCATCCTCCATTGAGGGACACTGCTCTAAAGAATTCTGGTTATGTTGCTACCTCCAGGAGAAATAGACGCTAGGCAAAAAAATGTAAAGTCTGCCATTTTAAGGACATAGCCTCTCCCACCTGCCAGTTTCACTTAGTCCCCGTTGAAACCTAGGCGGTTTGTAGCTCAAAGGAAAATGCGACAAAAACGCTCACGACAAGGAACCCCATTTATTTTTATGGCCCATGTTCACATCTAAGCATTTTGTCCCATGCAGAAAAATGGCTGTCACTGGAAAAAGTACCTGAGCTACTTTTTGGCAGATTGCAGTGGTTTTTGGTCTCATAGACTTTAATGGGGGTCTTCGTGCGACAAAACACTTGTGTGAACAGGGGCCATAGAAATGAACAATTCCTTGTCCTGAGTGTTTTGTTGTGCTTAGCTCGTCTTAACAAGGCGTTGACTATTCCTATTTATGACACTCCTTCATTTGAGGATGCTACTGACCGAATTGGAGAATCTTTCTCATACCATTTATTCATTAACTGGTTCAGCTCCTCACCCATTATTGGCTACAGTCCTTATTTCCCAGACTTTGGCTACTAGGACAAAATCTTTAAGTACAGAACAGGCAACTGCAGGAAGTTGATCTACATTTTATTGATTGTGTGAATCAGATGACTTTATGTGATGCGTTTGATGCTTGTTGTCTCGTGCATCTGCCTCTTCCATTCAGACACTCAAAGTTATTTAGTTTAAGGGCTGGTCGGCGGAACCCCAATGCCAAAAGGGACTTTTTTGTTTACCATACATGAGAGGTAGTCATTTTAAGCTACCTTGGATTAGGTTAAAACAAACAACAACAACAAAAAAAGCTACGGGAGCTAATAATGATCACTTGTCTGATGTGGAAAAATAGGGATCAACATCATAAGCCTACTGTATCTTTTCAGTTGGCAGTTTAAAAAAGATGTCTCACAATTTCAAACCTTTGGACCCTCTACACGTCCTTGGCAAATAAATAGTCTGCTTTAGCATGAAGGTCTACTCCCGCCTTTCTATACCTGGTGGGGTAGGGTGCATCTGATGTAATTTGCAGAGATGTGAGAAATATACATTTTAGAATATATTGTCATCTTCCTCCTCAGGATAAAGGTTCCTCCTTTTTCTGCTCATTCTATTAGGGTGCCGTCCCTCTGTTTTGGACTGCTTTTAAACATCCCTACATTTTAGAATTCTTCAGAGCTTTATCCCCCAATGGAGGAAATAGGATTTCGGTCTTGCCGTAAAATCCTTTTTGCAGAGTCCATTGAGGGATACAGCTCCCACCCCTAATTTCCTTTCTTACTGCTTGCTACAAGTGGCAGGTGTGAGGGGTTATGTCTTTAAATTGGCAGGCTTTTAATTTGTTTGCCTAATGTCCCTTTCTCCTGGAGGAGGCAGCATAACCTACACATTAGAATTCTTCAGCATTATGTCCCTCAATAGATTCCATTTCTCTTTTTCCTATAAAACAGTCTATTGCAGCACCATGATGGACTAATGGCTGCACAGCAGTGCATAACCAGGAACACTGGTGGAGTTCTTGCCAAAAAAACAACAACTCTGTTTTGGGTAGATGCAGCAAAATAATACCTCTTTAAACTCGTTGTACTCTTCCTCTGGCATAATCTTCTCCATAGAGTACCTTGCACGGACACGCAAAGACCCTGGTTCAATACCTTTCAGTGGTATGTGGGAACTCAGCTGAAACCACTCATCTATTGCATGTCCTTTTTGCAGTCGATTTAACTGGCAACGCATAAATACTGCAACGATAGGTAATGAAAATTAGCTGTAAGTAGAACATGCTAGCAAACAAAAAGCTTCTACCGGCATTAAAATAAATAATATATCTATATTTACACACTCACAAATGTCAGGGTCTTTGCTTTTCTTTGTCTTGTTACTGAGGCTAATCTCAAATCTGTTTATGTCCGGTGATAAATCACTAGGAAAAGAAAGCATATGTCAGCCACATAATCTAACCAATGAAAACACGCTAGGATATGTTTTAGCCGATTACCGTATACGTTTATTACCAGTACACAAGTTATTCAAACTATAATAAAGCAGTTTTTATTAAAGCGGACTTTACACTGCAGTGCTGAATTTGTAAAAAAAAAAAACATTCCGATAACCATTAATAAACCATAAACATATTAGACTCATCAAAAAGCTGTTTCTTCATTTTTAAATACCTTGTTTTATCCTTAAAATTCAGTGTCACAACGCAGAGGGCGGCCATGTTTGTTGAGGGAAAAGCCACTCCTTCTGTGCCCTTTTCTTTCATCATCCAGGAAAAGTAAAAACCCCAAAATGGCTGCGAGATCTCGCAAAATCTTACAAGCACTTTCTTTTTTTTTCGTGAACGAGATCTCATTTCAATGACAAAGCAATCCCAGGGTGCATTATGTTGGTAAACTGAACTACTTTGCACCTGGAAAGCAGGACGTTAATGCTCTGCAAGTGTAAAGCTGGCCATACACCTATAGATTATCTGCAGATTTTCTATGGTCAGATGGAAAAAGTGCAACAGATTCCTCCATCTATGCTAAACTGTGTGTATGGAGAAATCTGGGCCAGGCTTCAGTATCTTGCTAGTCGCCCCACTGGCTGTCAAAATACCAGAAACATCTGGATTTAGACAAAAAATTGGATGCAGACATTGTTCAGGTGTTTTGAGAGCCAGCGGGACCGACTAGCAAGATACTGAAGCTTGGCCCAGCGGGAGATTCTCCATGCACACAGTTTAGCATAGGTGGAGGAATCTGTCTATGGTCAGATGAAAAAAGTGGTACAGTCTGCAGCTAATCTATAGGTGTATGACCAGCCTAAGTATTTATATATAACAGCATTTTACACCTGACATGTCTGTTATTAATCAGCATAGCTAGAGGAATGCACTGGTGGGATTTGAGTATAAAGGTCCACTTTAATGGAAGAAGAATGCTACAAGCTATTGAGTAAACCATGTGATCACTGACAGACTTAATGAGTCCCAGATGACAGTCGTTTACATCATCATTGACAACTGGTAGATCCAGTAAACACAACTAAAAGCTCATATCTGCTGATCGACAGGAATCTTTAGGGGCCTATTCACACTCAAGTTCTGGCACTTTATTGTGTACTGAATGAAAGCAGCTTAATTAAATGAATGGGCAGCTAAATAAAAACTAACTCCATTTCTACAGCATAGTGAAGGTTAGTGACCAGAACGGAGTCTGTCGCTCTTCCCCCAGTGTCGGACTGCGCTATATAGGCAGTATTTGTCCTCATAAACTATGTCATAAGCTACTAAAGGGTCAATTCACAAAACTTTTTTTCCTGCTTTCGCTCATTATTTAATCCCGTCGAACCCGTAGGGTTCAATATTGAGTTGGCTCACCCTTTGCAGCTATAACAGCTTCAACTCTTCTGGGAAGGCTGTCCACAAGGTTTAGGAGTGTGTCTATGGGAATGTTTGACCATTCTTCCAGAAACGCATTTGTGAGGTCAGGTACTGATGTTGGACGAGAAGGCCTGGCTCGCAGTCTCCGCTCTAATTCATCCCAAAGGTGTTCTATTGGGTGGAGGTCAGGACTCTGTGCAGGCCTGTCAAGTTCCTCCACCCCAAACTCGCCCATCCATGTCTTTATGGACCTTGCTTTGTGCACTGGTGCGCAGTCATGATGAAACAGGAAGGGGCCATCCCCAAACAGTTCCCACAAAGTTGGGAGCATGAAATTGTCCAAAATGTCTTGGTATGCTGAGGCATTAAGAGTTCCCTTCACTGGAACTAAGGGACCAAGCCCAACCCCTGAAAAACAACCCCACACCATAATCCCCCCTCCACCAAACTTTACACTTGGCACATAGCAGTCAGGCAAGTATTGTTTTCCTGGCAACCGCCAAACCCAGACACACGTGATTTGTCACTCCAGAGAACATGTCTCCACTTCTCTAGAGTCCAGTGATGGCGTGCTTTACACCACTGCATCCGACGCTTTGCATTGCACTTGGTGATGTAAGACATGGATGCAGCTGCTGGGCCATGGAAACCCATTCCATGAAGCTCTCTACGCACTGTTGTTGTGCCAATCTGAAGGCCACATGAAGTTTGGAGGTCTGCAGCTATTGACTCTGCATACAGCTGGAGACTTCTGCGCACTTCAGCATGCACTGACCCCGCTCTGTCATTTTACTTCCACTATGTTATAATATCACTAACTTATGACCGTGGAATATTTAGTAGCAAGGAAATTTCACGGATGGACTTATTGCACAGGGGGCAACCTATTTGGATTTGAGTACAGATATATCTCCATTTCTATGGTAAAAAAGGAATGGACCAACACCACTTTTTCCAATGCAGTACACTAAACTGCACAGTAATACGTTACCGTGTGTTGTGGTGCACTGAAACGCATGTGCATGAGAGGTAGATTGCCTCAAAATGAATGGCACCCCAACACACTTACTACGTGTAACATTAGCACAACTGAGGTGTGAATGGGCCCTAAAAGTAAACTGGTAAATAGCTTTGGGTGATTTGATAGGTTTTTAAAAATGTTTTAGATCAGGTTTTCACTATCTATATACAATGCTTGTTTCAAAACCAAAGATTCAATACACGTCAAAGGGTTCCCAGATCAATAAAGGTAATCTGAAGAGAAGCTTTTTTTGCTTGGGTTCCCTTTATCTGACAAACTAAGCAGTCTAGGAAGATTAACTGCTCTGATGATGAACTAGTATGTCACAGGCAAAACAAAACGTCTAGAAATTGGAGTAGTAATGGTAGTATGGTCCGTCAAAAAAACCTGTACTGACAGAATATTTAGGCTGCCATTGCTGACCTGTCATTCTGAAGGTGTCACCTGCATGGTTGTCTTGTTGACCCAAATACTCAAATCATTTCTGCAGAACTAAACGTGAACAATGCGTCCGTTCAGCCAGGCCTTCTCTTACCCTGTTTAATGACTCAAAGTACTGAAGCCAGTAAAAGACGATTATTTTCCGAAGGTCAGCAGTGACAGCTGTCCTATTTCTCTCACTAAAAATTTGTTAATAATAGTTGTCCTTTAATTCCTTAGTACACGTGGAAAGGACATTTGTTCCTAGGGATGCACCGATATATTGGTCGCCAAAACATATCGGCCGAACATGGCACTTCTGGCAAAAAGGTTAAAAGTGTCATTGTCTGGCCGAAATAGCGGTGCATCCATTCTTTCTCTCCTCCCCGCTGGTCGCTGCTGTGTCCCAGCGGGGAGGAGAGAAACTGTCACAGGCGGCCGAGCGCTGCGGGATGAGGGCGCTGTGAGCGGCCAGCGTCTCTCCTCCCCGCTCCGCACAGCCTCCTGTCACAGATCGGCAGAGCGGTGTGGGCGGACACAGCCAGTGCTGTCACAGGAGGCTGAGCCCTGCTCGCTCAGCCTCCTGTGACAGTGTGTCAGGATGGAGAGCAGGTACTAAAGTGATCAACGATCACTGAGTGTTTGTACATAATTGGGGACATAGTATGGTTACTATAGCCTCAATTATGAATGAATGGGAAGTGATCTACAATCATCACCTCCTGTTCATTCATGATTGTGGATATAGTAAACAAACTATCTCCTCAAGCTATGAATGAACAGGAAAACTCAGTATAGAGGATTCCAGTTTATTTATAACAGGGGCTGCAGAAAAAGAGATTGAGAACTCTGTGTCCTCAATCTCTTTTTAGATTTTAAAAAGGAAATATCAGGGGTCAGACCCCTAATATTTCTCTGAAGCCCCCAAAAAGTTAAAAAAAATTAAAATATTTAATAAAAACAAATAAAAAATTAAATATAACAAATTAAAAAAAGTTTAAATAAAAAAAAATATTTAATTTTTTTTTTAAAGTTAGAATAAAAACACATTTTTGTTTTTGGCCTGACTGAAATTTTCATTTCGGTGCACCTCTTCTTTTTCCCAAATGAGACATAATTGTTAAAGAAATATGGACATCATATAAAAGATCAAAATACACAAGTACAGTTTTATCCAAAATAAATTCATGTCATTATACTTACTCAAAGAAAAACTCTTCTGACCAAACTGGATTTTGGCCTTCCCGAGCATGTGTCTTGGCTACCTGCACACTATTCAGGTAAATATTGCAGTACGGGCTAGTAAAATGTTTCACTGGTAGCTTGTGTGCTTCTTCTATGTGCAAATGGAGACTGCTGACCTGGAAAAAAGAAGGAAATGCACATTTAGACTAACACAAATGTTCACTCAACAAGAACATTGTATATATCCAAGCAACCTGGCAGGGTCTGGCTCTGCTTTGAATATGTAACCACTTGAATCCCAGATGCAGTTCTTAAAAGGAGAACTATGGGGTCAGTGTTTTTCCCCATAGTTCTCCTTAAGGTAACGGGAGGACACAAACTAGCGTCCTCCCGTTACCCTAAGCTCAGTATACTGCGAGCTACAGCTCGCGGTATACTGAGACGCCGCAGCCGGAGCGGATCCCGGCGTAGATGACGGGATCGGCCCAGCTGCGTGAGTGACAGCTGGCTCTGCCTATCTAGAGGCAGAGCCAGCTGTACCCGCCCCCTCCCACGTCCGTTCCGCCAGTCAGCGCTGGCAGATCGGAGCGGGGAGAGGGGAATCCAGCCCCTCCCCCTGTCACGGCAGAGAGCCGTGACAGGATCGAGAGGTGAGCGAACCCGGTATGTGTTCGCTCACCTCCCGATCTACTGAGCCGACCTGTGACAGTCTCATTGTCACAGGTCGGCTAGAACTATGAGGTGAGTGAAAATCACTCATCTCATAGTTCTCCTTTAACCACTTAGTGACTAAGCTTCAGAAAATGTTTTTAGTTCCTGGGGACCGGAGCAATTTTGCCATTTTTGCTATGTGTTGTTTAACCATAATTTCCATCTTCCTCATTCATTGCACCTACACACATTATATACCGTTTTTTAAAGGACAAATTGGGCTTTAATTTGATGCAACATATGCATAAACATTTTTATTTTTGTTTATTAACCTCTTGCCGTCCGCAGTAAAAAAAACGGACGGACGGCACTGCAGCATCTGCGGGTTGCCGTCTCCAGACGGCAATTTTTTTCTGCTCGCGCGCGCCCCCTAGCGCGCACGCACGGGCAGAAAAGACCCGCTAAATGCACACACCCGTTACCGGGTACGCATGTTTGTCCCCTAACTTTAATACCCCCCTCGGCACTATATTTTTATTAAACTTTTTTTTTTTTTTTTAACTTTTAAGTTTTAAAAACTGTTTACATTGGTCTTTTTTAAAGGGGTATTAAAGGGTTAATGTTTTCATTCAAGGGTTTTTGATAGTATCTCTGAAGAGCCACTGGGGGGGTCAAAACTAGAGCGTGCATGGCAACCAATCAGCTTCTCTCTTTCATTTTCAAACTTTAACTTAACAAACTAGAGAGAAGCCGATTGGTTGCCCCGGGGCAACTGCTCCACATTTTTTCTGCTCCAGTTTTGATACATTTCCCTCACTATATTCTCCTTAGAGATACTGACCCGGTTTGCAGCTCCACAACAGTTCAGTGGCTGTCAATGGAGTCCTCCATTGACTGCTGTGCACGGCGCCATCTGTGATCGTCACCACGATTGTTACTTGGACCGAGAACGCAGCAGGGAGTGCAGGGGGACTTACTGTTTTCTGGAGCTCAGTGGCTGTGACAGCACTGTGATAACTGTGATCGATTATCGCAATGTTCACAGGGCTAAGACCACCAAATTTGCTGTTGAGGGTCTGCCTCGGACCCGAGCATCAGCATTAACTAAATGAGCACTGGTCCTGCATGGACCAACACTCATTTTAATGCATGACAGGATTATTCAGTCACCGGTCTAATGAACTTAAAGATCGTGACGGAATAATCCCGCCATTGGTCAGAAAGGGGTTAACCAACACCAGTTTATTCACCATTTACTCCATCACTCTTATTACAACACAATCTCTTTGGCTCATGAACCTGCTGCACTTTTTTTTTTCTAACCATGCTGCATGTCCATGTGGTGAGAGGGAATATGCTGAGTAGTAGAGAGCAGAGCTGGTGGCCTATTAGTGTGTTATGGCATCTTCACAGTCTAATTAGTAGGTTGTGTTTGAGAAGGAGAAAACAGTATTTTTACCAGAAAAGGTGGTGTCACTTTCCTAGCTGTGATGTCAAGGTGTCTGGACAGAATTACTTTGGCAGATGAGAGTTCACATGTGCATTTCAGCTGGATATTTAGCTGTTTGCCTGAATTTCAGCTTTGTGTATATAAGCCATCAAACGTTTGTTTTTATATTCATATAAATACGAACCTGTCGAAGACGCTTATTGGATGTGGCTTGTGCTGTCTTCCGTAGGCTGCAAAATGCCTGAAGACTTTTCATCCAGTCCTAGTACAATATATAAAAAAAATTGAAGTTTAAAGTTCAAAAGCTAAAAGAGAGCCATTTAGATACTCTTGTAAAAGTCACAATTTTGAAAACAAAGTAGAAACACTACGGGTGAATAGGATGCTGGTTGTGTATGGAATGGTACCAAAATATTGCTGTCAAAACCAAGGATCAACTTCTAAAGACTAGCAGGTGTTCAAGCACACTGAACTATCTGAAACATTATTCATTATTTATACATATAGTGGGCAAAACACTGCAGATCCCGAATGCACATTTGGTACCAAGTAAATATCTAACAAATGTAGACTGAGGCAAAAAAAACAACAACAAAGCGGTCACCAGTCTGGTAAAGTAGCAACTGTAATATCTGTAACCTTACAAATACAGGGCATATTATAAAAAATGATATATGAACACCAAGAACAAATCCACATGTTGAAAAAGCATTGAAATATATAGTAAATCTTAGGTGACAGACACTCGACCTTTCAAATAGACCAGTGTTGGCCCTATTGAACTAGTAATAAACAACAGGCATAGCAGTGAGTAGAAGAAAGCAAAGTCTAAGGCTATATTCATACCAAGTCCGGAGCAGATCTGCAAACACAGTGCAGTGCGGTTTTGGGTGGCTTAAAATGGGCTTCCAGGTGCAGTCCAGTGTGTTTGCATGCGTTTTTGATGTGTTTATATGCGTTCCAGACCAGAGAAAATGAGACGAGCAGTTTTTTTTTTTTTTGTCTGCACCAGAATCAACTCCGCTGGTGTGAACAGAGCCCAGAAATACCATAGGGATACACTGGGATGCTTTTTTTGGTCCAGGAACAAACTGTTCTGGTCTGGACACGGTGTGAACAAGCCCTAAACGGGTCCCAAATCCAGTAAACTATGCAACCGACAAACTCATAAGTGAAAAAAAAAACACCTTTACCTGTAACATCTCCTCATCGCACTGCACCATGCAAGCAGCGTAAGGGACATGGGGGAGATTGATCAACACTGGAGCAGACAGAAACTGGAGCAGTTGCCCGTGGGAACCAGCTTCTATCTTCAGTTTGTTCATTTAAGATTTGATCATTTAAGATTTGAAAATGAAAACATAGAAGCTGATTGGTTGCCATGCACAGCTGCTCCAGATTTTGCATCTCCAGTTTTGATAAATTCCCCCCATAGTGCTGAATTTAGGAGCAGAGCCACCTCACTGTCACCCCATCGCAGAAAGCTACACGAGGACTTCACAGGCAGGTATCAACAGGGGGTACTTTTAAGTGCAGGAGCAATTACTATATGGTACTGCAGCAAATGTTTTTTTTATCTTTTAATGAGAGGTAATTATTCTACTTTAAAGGTAGAATTTTCATTCAATAAATACATTGGTTCTCACAGAAACAATTGATGCACAAATGACGGGTATCACAAGCTTGACCATGTTTACTCCCGAAGACAAAACATGCTGTAAACAAAACACAGGCTCCTCCATCTCTAACATGTTTCACCAAAACGGTTATTCTCTATGAATACTCCATGAAACATGTTAGCCATGAAACATGTAAGCCGGCATATGCAGTTGACGTATTACATTTTTGTTAGCTTTCCTCTTCATACCCTCATGGAAATGGCCACCTCTGACTAGGGTTCAGGCCTAACGAGAACTTCATTTAAAGAAAAAGGAGAAAGAAAGGCTGCAATGTGAGTCATGAAACTGTTCACATGTATACATGATGACTTCACCTCTTCATTACCGCAATAAATGCTAATCACTTACACAGTGGAAATGGGCTATAACTACTAACAGAGGTCCAAAGTCTTCCTGCCTTCCGCTTATCAGCAATTGTAGTTATAGGTCAGGTTACAAAAGGCTACAATAAAAAAAGCCTGCATTAAGCTTGCACAACCTCCTTTGGATCTACCGTGAACCGTCTAGTGGGAGGGCTTATCTGACTGAAAATAAACTGAACGGATTATCAGGGTAGACCCTCACATTACATAGTTGTTGGTAAAGTTAATGCATATTTCCTCTCCTGCAGCCAAATTGGGATAACATCTATTTTATATGTGTTACATGTTCTTATTCACATAGCAGAAACGAAAAAAAAAAATGCTTCCTGTAGTTTAAATTGCTTTTACTTGGGTCAGGGTTTCTTGGCTTAAGGGTTAAAATGCAAATGCAGTCAAATTCCAGCAACTAAAAACTAAAGATGCTGCCAGAGACTGTCCACAGTGACCCCAGAGGTGTGCAGGGAATCTGTGAATCCAGGTTATTTTGTAAAGTACAGAGACCTGAATTTACTTACATGTGCTCAGTTTTAAAGAACTCAAGGAAAAAAAATATTGTCCATTACAGTGGGGCTACCCGCACTGCAAGGGTTAAGTGCTCAATTTTGTCTAAGTGCTAAGAAAAAAAAAAGTTACACTGGCCAGACCATCTGAGCAGGCTTCCTGCTTCTTTGATCACCGACGTGCGTCGTCTCCTCCTCCTCTAATGCACAGATGGAATGTTCTGCAGCGTCCTCACGTCTAAACACAGTCTATGCACAGTGTATGCAGCGTGATGACACCAGGATCCTTAGATCGCTACAGAAGAGGGGGAGAGACGCTCGAGACTCCAATCTAAGAACAAGCCGGCTGGGATAGTCTGGTGAGTATAACTTTTTTTTAGCACCTAGACAAAAAGGAGCACTTAACCCTTGCAGTGCTGAGGTAGCCCCACTGCAAGGGTTAATCATTTTTTCCTGCAGTTCTTTAAACACACCAAACAATATGTATGCAAGTAAAAAAAAAAAAAAAGACAAAGAGTTTTGCAACATATACAGTATGCTGCAGCCTGTTATTCATTTTAATACAGTAGTTTTTGTTTTTCTGATTCCCTTCAACATAGTTTTATTACTTGTTGATCCTGCCAATAGATCTTTTATTGTCCCACTTCCTTTACAAGACCAAACTGTCCAGCAAAGGGGGCAGACACAGGGTTGACAAAAACATATAATACTACTGGGGGTTCTTACCATGGTCAGATTTTATTTATGTGGCTTAAACATTCTCTTCCCAAAAATATTTGTTTTTAAACTGTTGATGTAACTCCCCAAAACATTCTAGCTGGTCTTGGGCTTTAATTTGTCACTTAAAGTTCATTTAAAACTATGTCCATCTAAGACTCACTACTGCCCAATTTCACTGTAAAACAGACACACTGGTAAAGGAAGGTGAAAATTAGAGAGCCACTGGCAAGAACAGGGAATACAGCAATGTGTCAATACCAGTGGCAGACTGCATCATATATGTAATGTTTGTATTTTTCCCCACAGCTGCACTTCAGTGTAACTAGGAATTATGCAGAGGCCAAAGGATTCTATAATGAAAAAGCCAATATCTAAATCATTCTCAAGTAAGAGGAGTGAAAATAAATATAGAAACCATATAATAAAATGCCACAAAGTACACAATCAACTCCAATAAAGCTAATAACACAACTATTTTGACTATTCAAAAAAGACTTTGAATCAAGTTCTTAGGCCTCATATACATACAGGTCCCTAACAAAAAGGACACAATGGAAGCTCCACTCTGCTTGACAACAGCTTTGTGCACAGCTTTTCTGCGATGCTCTGCAGTGCAACTATATGATCACAAAGCTTTATAGTGCAAGCTTCCCTGTCCAGCTGTTTATGAAGCACCTCTGAGCCAGACCGCTAGGGTCATACAGCAGCTCAACCCGTAACCCAGCTTATTTTTCCCCTCCAAATTTGCTTTATGTGTGGGGTATGAATAGTGAGCTTGGCCCGAGTCTGGACTGTACTGCAAAGTAGAGAAAACAATTCCACAAGTATACTGCAAGACATTTAATTTGGTGGTTACCTCGGCTTGCTCAGGTGTATCACCGGCAAAGTAGAAAATGTAATGCTCCTCACTAAAGTGCTGAACTACAATCTGGAAACAGTTTGGCCTAAAACAAAAAGAAAACAAGACCCCAGCAAGGTTATTATTTCATTTTAAACTGTAAAACATCTACGCAGCTTATACATATGTATTCATTGAAACATCGACAAAATGATAAAATATGAATTAGCATGCTGTGGAATGATTTGTAAATGTGCTGTTGTAATGAATGCGTTAGCAAATCATTAAATTCTAGTCAATTAGCATTTAACTTTAACACCACGTTTTCAATGCAGAGCAGTTACTCCACCAATAGTTTTTTTCCATATAGAGAAGAGTTTAGCATGGATGGAAGAATCTGTTTTATACCCAGCTAAAAGCATGGATGGACAAATCTCCTGCTGTGTGCATTGTGTTCTGACAGAGGCCGCTGATTGGCTGCAAGGACCGTTCAGCCGAGGGTTTTCCAACATGTTCCTTCAACAAGAGTCAATCTAATGATCAACATCTAGTAAAAATAGGATTGTTGACTTACCATAACATTGTTATTCTTTTTTAGGAATACATTAAAGCCTTTTTCACACCAAGCAGGTGCAGAGCAGATCAGTTGCAGACCGGATCAAAACTGTGCCCAATGTATTCCAATTGTATTTTTTGCTCCAGTTCACATCGCCGCGTGCAGGTCCAGAGCAGGTGAAAAAACTGCAGCAAGCCCTATTTTACCTGCTCTGGACCTGCTCTGGAAGGCATGCAAATGCCTGGAATGCACTGAAAGCCCACGTTAAACTAAAAAAAAAAAAATGTTTTTTTTTAACCAAGAAACGTGGCACAACCCACTGCACTGCGTGTGCAGAAACCTGAGCGGATCTGCTCTGCATTTGGTGTGAACAAGGCCTAAGGGACACCAGATGTAATTCAGGTACTTAGGGTAATGCCGCTGCCTTTAGGAGATTGGCAAATAAAGCTGTAACGACAGACTAGTATAACTCATGACTCGCACATTAGAGACACAGGGTGCAATTCAAATACATAACGACGTAGAAAAGCTGTCCAAGTGAGGAGAGGCCAACACAGGAAACCCACTAACAGGTTCGCGTTAATAATAGGGCAAGATAAGGGGCTCAATAAAGCTCAGAGTCACCGGAAGAACCTTACACCCAAAACTGGCATCAGATCTACCTGGTAAAAGTTAACAAATGTGTGAACAGAAGACTGCATGCACTATTTTTGCAGATCACACTGGACCGAAACGCAGACATTTATGTGCCTGCGTTCCAGGTGCAGGCGATCACACTGCAGACGGGGGGCATGGCTGCGGTGCCACTGACTTCAATGCACTGCAACGCCCCCTCCCAGCCCTGAACGCAGGGAGCCGGCCGGTTTGTGTTTCAGAGGCTGAGTGCAGAGGTTGTGGTGCGAACTGGCCCTAAGGCCACCAACGTCGAAAAGCACCTCACAGAGAGGATTGCAACGAGAAAGGCAACTTTATGTGAGAGATTAGACAAGATAATATCCTTAATGCTCAAAGGAGGGTTTCTGCAGAACCAAATAGATTCTGGAGACACCACCTAGCACAAACTTCACTGTTTGGTCCAAATCTATCCTCTTGGAATCCTGGATCTATCCTTCTAGATCCCTCTGTCTGACAGAGGGGCATCTTAGCAATGGCAGGTTGCCTGTTAGGGAGGATAAGGACTTGAAAAGAGCTTTTAGCCTTTTATTTATTGGATCTTTAAACACAGACATTTCATTTAAAGGGACAGTCATAGTCTTGTTAAGACAGGAAATAGCCAGGTCCACTACGGGGACAGCTCACTTTAAGGAAACCCTCTTCAATAGGCTATTGCTGGGCAAAACGATTAAGAGGAGTAAAGAATTTCTCCAGATAAGGCCAATCACTATACACAAGAGGCTGCAATGGCAAGTTACTATAGTCATAGTAACAAAAAGACAAGGATATCATTACTAAGTTTTGGATTTATAAACAGCTTTGAGGAGTGCAGGGGACAGTGGTCTGAGCTATCACGGTCAGTTATTTTAAAAGGAATGCTGGAAACGTTAGTGGAATGTAAGCTGTCAAGGCCAGCGGGACCGCTGCCCTTGTGCTCATGATCAACCAGACAAATGTATGTAAATGTATGAAGTGTGATTCCCACACGGGACACTCACAGACACCTCTGGGAGCCAGAAGAGTTAATATCAACTCCGACCTCGTCACTGGAGGCAGCATGGAGCCCAAGGGTTGGTGCAACAAAGTAGAAGGCTGGAAATGCTGAGAGGTCAGCATGTGGTTCAAAGAGATAGCGTGCACATGCACATTCTAACACTGGAGACAGAGAGAGGCTGCACAGACTTGGTGCACACAGGCAGTATGCCCTTGAGTAAGGGCGCTGTGCCTCCCTCTACTGCCGCATGCAACCAAAAGTGACACAGCCAGCTCTCACAAATTAAGACCTTACAGGACTCAAGAAGTAATAAACGCACACCCATGCTTCCATAAGCGCTAAGTTGTGACTTACTGCAATGGTGACCTTGGAACACCCTGCAATACCGACCAAGAGAATGGAGGTAACAGGCAGGATACAGGAGACATGCCCATCTGAGCAGACTTCACCCTCACGGTGGCCATACTCTCTAAGGCGTCTTCAGGGACAGGGTTCCACTAAACGGGTGCACCGCAGCCTTGGACCTGTAAAGCACTCTGCAGCTAAGTCACATGTTACACCAAGGGTATCTAAGAGAGTGCCTACAAAGGAATTCAGTGCACAGAGGACACATTACAGGCTGACCCTGCTTCTTCTTCACGGTGGGGTCCAGGTACGGCGTCCAAGGTTATGCAAAGGTTCAGCCAATCCGGAAAAATGAAAGGTGAGCCCCAATGGTTCTGCAGCAAATGGAAGAATTTTGACAGAACAAAAAAAAACAAAAAAACAAGGTCTTGATAAAATCAGAAAAAAAGTAAGAAATTGTTTGTTTCTTTTTAGAGGAGAAAGAAGACATCCATTCTCTCAGGACACCAACAAAAATCAGCATGGTGATAGTGGGTTGGGTTATACTAGACTGTCCATACAGCTTTGTTTGCCAATGTCCAGTCTCTTGAAGGCGGCAGCATAATCCTATGTATGTGAATAGCACCCTTTGTCCTTTAATGTATAATTAAGAAATAGCATCTAGATCACACTGTATATACTGCATATGTATATTAATAGAAACATGCAGCTGATGGTAAAAAGGATTTGTTGACTATGTTGATGCACTATTGCTTCTTGCCATATCATATGTTGCATTTGTATTTGTGTCTTTTATGGAGTTCTCTCTTCAAACGCTGCTTTCAGTATGCATGAATTGAATGTGTGTAAGCAAACCATCTACAACGCAAAACTCTAGATCTACTTCAAGGAAAAATTATTTTACATGTAACACACAAATGAATGTGCAGTATGAGCGCCATCTAATACCAGCCTGGAACTATGTCAGGGACATTTATTTAGTAATAATGCCTTGCTCCTGCCACTGCATGGACCATCAACAAATGCAGCGAAACTCAAAAGGAACATACACTAAATAGGAAGTTGTCATACTAAACCTCTCTCACTTTACAAAAGCATGCCAAAAATAAAGCCCAAAACAAAGAAAAGGGAAACATTAGTATTCCCATAAAAATAGATCATATAATTTTGTCCATTGTATATCTATATATAATTTTTCCATGTGAAATGGCTTAATGGTTTTGTTTAAACTAACATGCATTGTATGTTATACACATTTATCTACAATATTTTCTCCTGAATAGCCAGATAGATAAAATAAAACTTAACCCATTAATAATGTTGTATAAATTGAGAGTTCAGGGCACAACATTAAAACATCATGGACACAAAAAAAGATGCAACTATACAAAGTGTTCTGTGTGGATTTAGCACTTTATGGTTGGTTGTCATTTATAATCTAACTAAACTGCACACTGAATGTCCCCTTATGCTGCACACTGAATGTCCCCTTATACTGCACACTAAATGTCCCCTTATACTGCACACTAAATGTCCCCTTATACTGCACACTAAATGTCCCCTTATACTGCACACTAAATGTCCCCTTATACTGCACACTAAATGTCCCCTTATACTGCACACTAAATGATGCTGCACACTAAATGCCCCCTTATGCTGCACACTAAATGCCCCCTTATGCTGCACACTAAATGCCCCCTTATGCTGCACACTAAATGCCCCCTTATACTGTTTCCCTTAAAGATGAACAACAAAATGCATCATTTATTTGAGTATTGTAGTTCGTAGAAAATATTTACCCTTTTCACCAGCACAAATACCTGCATCTATCCTGATATTAACAGCCAAGAACATCATAATTCACACGGGAAGAGCGTCAGTTGGGTTAGCTCTCTAAGCCAATTAGACTTGGTGCTAAAGCTGCAAGCCACGTTTGGGTCAAGCTTAGAAGATGACAGAGTAATGAGCAGGGTGCTACTTCTCCTGCTTTGCCCAAATGGATGCCGAGTCTGATCTGTCCAACCTATATTGCTTAAATGGGTCTAGACCAAGAGGCTACCTAAACCAAATTAAAACTCTTTGGGCCTAATGGGGGAGGATTCTGTGCAAGTGTAAATCCTGTGGTATGGAGTGACACTCTTCCAATTCTTCAGTTATGATTTAACATCTTACACTTTTAAAATAATTGCTAACTAAAACCTTTATGAGTGTATAGAGCTGATCATTTTCAAAGCTGTGTGACAAAGAAAACAGTTGGAAGTGACAAAACTGAAACTCTAAGAACATAACAGAGGATTTGGAACCTCTCACCTGCCAAACAGACTGTCATGGACTACATAGACAGAACATACACTTAAATCAATTAATCCTTTGGGCTTTGTGGCACGCTTTTCACTTTCAAAATAAATAAGTTGGGCATCATTACCCTCTAATATAAAATACAAGTTCTTCCACCGTTTGCCTTTACCTAGAAATAAAAAGCAGAAATAAACACATTAGCCTTTGCCTTGCACTAAAACTGCTATCACAGTGACATATAAATACAGTTGAATGTCGAAAGGGATTTGGTTTTAGAAAGTCCAATGAAGGACAGGTTTACTTTAAAGCCACTGCTTGTTAATGGAGAGATTGTATTTGGGAAAAGACATTTTCTTTATGTCTGTGTCATGGAAAGGAGAAAGATACAACTAACATATTGCTGGGCACATCAGCAAGCTAATAAACCAGTACAAACAGTGGGGTAAAATAAGAGCAAAAAGACAAAGAGCTGCTGGATCGCACAGAAATATCTGTGCCTCAGGCTAGGTTCACACCAACCGCGTGATTGGTTCACACCTTGGCGACTCCTGACCGTGCGGCAATCCGTGCAGAATCGTGCACGATTGCCACGCAGTGAGGGGTCGCCTAGGTGTGAAACCAGCCTTAGAGTAGTTTTAGGTTCTATGTACCCAGACCATAACACTAACTGACCTGACTGAATCTGCATGATTTACATGAATCAGTTCTATAACAATGTAGGAGTTACTCCAACATCTAGGGTGAATGTAACCCATAAAGATCATAACAAGTTCACAGAAATGGTCAAATCCAGATGGTTTCCCTGAAAATCACAAGCATAAAAGATCCATCTTGGAGGCCATTTCTTCTAAGGCGGAGTTTATAAACAAATCGAATACTAAACTGCAGAGCAAAATACAGCACCATATTACACTGGTTGTTAGTTTCTCTCAATGTGGTCAATCGTTCATCACCCCCATAAGAACAGACACTTAAATATCCTGAATTTACATATACAACACCACTGAGTATTGCTGTAAACATTCATATACAGTTCAAGAGTCTCCTGAAAGAATACTAGCTAAATGGTTCCTGACAACACAGCAATCTTAGGGTTAAACTGGTTTGTTCCCCTCCCTTCATGTACTGGTTTCTATGAAGATAAGAGGATGACACAGCCTGCATTTCAGTGTATTGAATGGAGCCTTTATTTAAAGAAGAACTCTGGGCAAGTAAAACCTTAACCCTTGCAGTGGGGCTACTCTCACACTGCAAGTGTTAAGTGCTCGTTATACTCACCCAAACCTTGATCCCGGCTGGCTCCTACACCAGTCCCTTCAGTCTGTCTCCTCCTCTGCTCCAGCAATGGAATGCCCCCCCGGCGTCCACACATCCTATACACTGTATAGGACATGATGACTCATAGAACTCTAAACAGCTGGGACCACTTTAGCAGCCAGCCGGGATTATGGTTCGGGTGGGTATAATTTTAGCTTCCTAGACAGAACAAGTTTTTCTTTAAAATACAGACGTCAAGGCCTCCACAAGAAGGTTCATTTCACACAGGCACAGAGAAAAACTTTTCTGCACAAGACAAGTAACAGGCACCAAATTTAGTTTTAGAAAGTCCAATGAAGGACAGGTTCACTTTAAATCCACTGCTAATGAATTAGTTTGCATGAAAGTGATATTGAAGTCAGAAGGTATTGAAGCCATTTCAAGTGCCTATTAAATCACTTGAAGTGGATGCTGCTCCTTGATTTTTACATAGTTTTTTGTTTCCTGCAGCTGATCCCCTGAGTACTGGCCCTGATATCCTGTTTTAGGGGGGCATCTTTCCCTAGCGGGGTCCTAAGGAGGCACCTTTCTGTGTGTGTCTATACAACATATGTCAATTACAAGGCCCGCGGGCCAGAAATGGCCCACCGCAAGACTTTCTTAGGCCCGCCAGTCCCTGGGCAGCCTCACAGGCCCCTCCATACCAAGAAGTGTCAACTATTCTTACCTGCTGCAGAGGGTATATTTGGGCAGAGGCAAGGTAACATATATGGCACATTGTCCCTTTATTGTTCTCTTTCAAGCAAAAATTTAAAAATTGAATAAGTAACGAAATTAGGGGTTGTATGAGGCCCACGCCAAGAACTTTTATCTACAAATATGTTAAATGCAGACCACAAACACATCTAAATGGTAACCACAGGACAGACCCAAATATCAGAGGCTTCAAATCCTGAGTCACCAATTTTAAGACAATCTCACTGAACTTTATCTGACTGGTTTTTACAGGTCATTTAATTCGATTAACATGTTCTCACATTGATGAGCAGCAAAAAGATCAGAAAGATCCGACATACAATTGTTTCGTTACTACTTAAGGACTACTCACTCTTCTTCAAAAGATATCCTTTCTTCACAATGTTTTTATAAAATGCATCCTTTGTTTTCCGTTTGATTGTATTATAGATTTCTCTGCCATCTACTACATCATTCAATACTTGCTCCTGGTGCTGAAAAAAATAAATAGAAAACACACACACTTCTTATAAAGGCCACACCGCCTATAAAGCCTTCTGAGAAAACAAAATATTCTAAAACAACAGAATGGACAAAGTGGTTAAGAGAGTGTCTAACAAAATCTACTGCTCCATCCAGTGCTGAGTGTTATGTAATTGTATCATAACATGTACAGAGAAGTCCCTGCAAAATGAGCCATTTCCGAGTCCCCTGGCCCAAAACCCTACAGCTTAAGAACTGCTGCCTGTTGCCCCTCTACTGTCATTAGTAGAGTAATCGATCAGCAGTAGAGAGAGGTAATCATTTTTATTCCCCTAAATGCTTTACTAGAATAAATGGGAACATGACAGCATTTACATTAGGCAAGAAAAAAAAAGCCTGAAAAGACACCTAAGAACACACTAAAAGATGCCACCAACTAACAAGGAGAGTAGAGCCATGATTCACTTACCTGTACAGGAACAGGATCTTTCAAGTAATAGCCTTCAACTATTTGCTCTTTCCTATAGTGTTCTATAATGTCATCAATTCTGTTCAGGAACAAGAATGAGTTAAATTTAAAAATAAAAACACAACAATAATAATAAAAGACAACTTCTTCCTACTCAGGACATAACTATGTGCTTGTTTTAGAAGAAAGAAACCACACTGCAGTGAAACTGCATGATGATAGATATTCGGACAGAAACCAGTGATCTATATAAACAATAAACCAAACGGAGTAAAGGGAACCAACAGCAGGACTGTAAATCCATTGTTGTGAGCCCCCTTACTCCGGCAACAACCACATTATGATGGGAAAACTGCTACAATTTTTCACATGCAGCTCCACCTGCTGGGGAACTCTGATGATCTATTTTGTAGCTAAAGGTGAAATTACGCTTGTTTATTCGTTTATACAATAGCAGTTTGTTTAGGTATACGTTCTAACCCTTTTGCTGCCACCGACATACGATATACGTTGGAACACAACCACTTGCAGCTGGCCGCATCAGAATGCCATACATCAATGGCTTTCACCCTTCTGCTATAAAGGTCACAGTCGCTTTAATGACCATGAACTTAACCCTTTCGCTGCCAAGGACGTACGGCATACGGAGCTACAAAAGTGCTTCCAGCTGGCCAGCTCAGTATGCCGTACGGACCTGGCATTTACAGTTCTACTATAAGCATCCATGGTTAGCTGCTAACCAGGGGACGCTGATCTGAGGTCCCCTGAAAAAGAATAGTCATCTTAGCTTTTTAGCTGCTGATGAGCTATTCATTAAAATTCCTGCCCCCCCAATGTTTGAAAACAACTGGGGACACATAGTACTAAGTGTCCCCCTTATGAATGAACAGGAAGTGCTTTACATCACTTCCTGTTCATTCATGAGTTTCTGAATGGGTAGAAGCAGCTTAGTACAGAGGTTTCTATCAATTAACAACTGGTTGATAGTAAATTTACTATCTCCAGTGTGTGAATGTACTGAGCACTTTCCATTCATGGAGGGCTGAGGCCATGTGCACCATATTGTGGTGTACGCCATGCTCATGCCCTGCATTGTTAGAAAGCATCGCAGTGCTTGATTTTTTGTTGATCTTCTTTTCAAAATAACTAAATAATTAAACTGCATGGCAGCGCATGGCAAAGCATTGCGACGCATTGCCATGCCTTGTGATATGCTGTGTTGGGATTAAATGTACGCCTGTATCATTTTATCACAACACACACACCAGCAAAACGCACAAATATTTAACATAAGTTGCTTATTTGCAGTTTTGCGTTTTCATTTTTGTACCATTTAGCAAAAAGGGTGAAATTAAAAATTTACAAATATTGGTTATTTATGAACTCAATAGAGTTTTATCTTTTAGATTTCGTGCGAAAGGTATTTTTTTTTGTGCACTGATATTGATTTTAGTGTGCTTTTATCCACTGAATTGTGTCTTTTTATCGATTTAACAAACATTTGCGCAATTGTCACAGGACCTACAAAATTAGTATCACCATCTTTTTACTCTACCGGGCCTGTGCTTTCAGAAAATATATGGTTTGGGGGTCTTTTGCAAATGCTTGCAACGCACCAATCAAAACAATGGTAAAAATTGCAAAAATGGTGAGAGCAGGTGTAAAGCGTTCAAGGGTTTTGCAGCAAAAGGGTTAAAAAAGTGTTTTTCCCCATAGTTCTCTTAAGGGTAACGGGAGGACATACACTAGCCTCCTCCCATGACCCAAAGCTCAGTATATCGAGAGCTACAGCTTGCGTTATATATACCGAAACCACCGCAGCCGGGAAGGATCCCGACAATGCTGTCAAGATCCACCCAGCTGCGTGAGTGACAGCGGGCTCTGCCTATCTAGAGGCAGACCAAGCTGTACACGCCCCATCCCCCGTCCATTCCTCCAGTCAGAACTGGAGGGGGGGATCCTTGCTGGGAGCAGTGACTGACAGTCACGGCTCTCTGCAGGGACATAATCAAGAAGTGAGCGAGCAACGCTATGTGTTCGCTCACTTCCCGATCTACTGAGTGACAGTTTCATTGTTGCACTTCTGTTAGAACTATGAGGATGAGTGATTTTTACTCACCTCATAGTTCTCCTTTAAAGCCAAGTCCTAAACTATCAGTACCTTCAAGATAGTACAACTCCATTCATACCTTAAACAAAAACAGAACGCGCCATAAAGAAAAACCACAACCTCTACGTTACACACAAACACATTCTGACAAAATATTTTCACAGGTGAATTTGTATCAGTGTTACCTGTTGTAGTACCGACCTCCCATCATGAACTGGTTGTTTGATGTCGGGCAGATCTTAAATCGCTGAATGTTTTCATTGGTCCGGAAATAAAGTGAATAATCACCAGGAGTATTGTCAGAAGGCCTCACCAGGAAACTGCTGATCAGACCAACTAAAAACAGTTGACAAGTGGAATCAGAACAAGAATAAAAATCGGTAAAAACACAAGAAAATACAATGACCACAGTACTACATATTTTAATTTCCAATAAGAGAACTCAAAAAGACAACAAGAATGTACTAAGAAATGTAACTTGAACAAAATATATAGGAAATAGTAAACAGTGATAGAGATAAACAGTCTTCAGCACATTCGGATGCCTGCACACATTCAGCTACATACAACAATCTGATTGTTCAATCTCCTTTCCATTTATCAACAATGGCAGTGAATCATCTTTTTTTTTTATTGCAAGGTATGCTCTTATCTAAAATGTAAAGGCGATTGTGCAAAATTGTAATGAGTGGCAAGATGTAAACAAACACTCGAATTTGCATAGTCACAAAATGTGGTATGCAGCCTCATTTGCCAGTGATGTGTTTGCAGGCCAAGGTGGAGCTTTCAGAGATCTGTTTACAATTTGCATCACAAATTGAGCCCGAAATAAAATGTAAAAGAAAATACTGGGTACTTCCGTGTACAGAGGCGTATGTGCCTGGCCAATTAGCACAGTCACATGGGGTGTCCATAGTCCTATACCAGCGATAGGCAAACTTTCGCCCTCTAGCTGTGGTGAAACCACTAATCCCAGCATGCATCTGCCTGTGGCCATCACAGTCTTGTAACATCAAATGGGATTTCTAATTTCATCACAGCTGAAAGGCCGAAATTGTCCTACCCCTGCCCTATAAAAAGCTGGCCAAACACATGCAGGCTGAATTAAATAAATCTAAAAGATTCCTGCATTCACATTAAACAGCATGGATGGACGAGCAGGATCAACAGGTATTTTTTTGCACCAAATCAAAAGAAAGGAAGAGAAGCTCATTGTTAAGGTTTACATATACTTTAAGCTACAAGTCACAAAGTCTTGTTTACTGTAATTACACATTACAAATGGACCAATATTTTCAGTTTATCAAAATCTAAAACAGGTTAAAGTACAGTTACATTTCATAAATAATATACCTGTCATAAGATGATTATATGCTTCCTGTTTACTGATTTTCCCGTGGAACCATCTTTTGAAGATAAGGGAAAAAAAAAAAAATTAGAATAAAAAAAAAAAAAGTTTGGCTTATGTGTTTACATACATTTCAGACCCGCGTAATCATGTCTTCTCTTAATGGTGCCTTTTTGGCACTGCAGCATTATTACCACCGTGTCATTTTTTTCCTCTTACATGTGTACACAACACACATCAAAATAAACCACAACCATGTAGCAGCCTTCAGAAGAAGAATGTACCCATAAATGTGAAATACTTTACATGTCAATATCAGGAGAAAATGAGTGACTATAGAGTGCCTGTGTAGCTACTCAGTGAAGTAGAAACTCTGCCGAGAGGGTTTAAAATAAAGTAACAGGAATAACACAAAGCTTAATAAGATAAAATGTGGGCTGTATAGTCTATTGAGAAAATCAAACATATGCAGGAAAATAACTCGGGTAATCATGCAACCGATACCATTTCCTTGTGCTATACTTACAGCTTGCCTTCATGCGGATCTTCTTCCCGCCCCTTTAAAAAGAAAATAAAAAAGTACAGAATTTTTCATTATCGTAGTCACCTCCACCCTAGAGTATCTATTAAAACATTTTATTTTTCAAAAACAGGATATATAGAAGCAAAACACCTTTTTTTACTCATCGCTATAGGTTGAACTCAATGGACATGTGTCTTTTCAGCGCCCAGCGTGGAGAAAAGAAAGTGACAGCCGGCCGAGCGCTACAGGACGAGAGCGCTGTGAGCGGCCGGCGTCTCTCCTCCCACACCGCTCAGCCGCCTATCACAGTCCAGCAGATCGGTGTGAGGGCGGAGACAGCGCTGTCACAGGAGGCTGGGCTTTCCTCTCTACACCGCTCGATCAGCCTCCTGTGACAGCGTGTCAGAGAGAAAAGCAAGGTACACACACTCAGCGATCACTGAGTGTGTGTACATAATTGAGGACATGGTATGTTAAATATATCCTCAATTATGAATGAATGGGAAGTGATCTACATCACATCTACATCACCCCCATTCATTCATAATTGTAGTTATAGTAAACAAACAATGTTCTCATGTTATCAATGAACAGGAACACTCAAAGGATTCCTGTTCATTGATAACCGGGGACACAGAAAAAGAGATTGAGGACTCTGTGTTCTCAATCTCTTTTTCTATTTTAAAAGGGAAATATCAGGGGTCTGTTTAGACCCCAAATATTTCCCTGAAGCCCCTAAAAGTAAAGTAAAAAATATTTAATAAAAAAATGAATACAAAATTACAAAGTTTATAAAAAAATATTAAAAAAATTGAAAAGATACAAACAAAAAACATTTTCGGTATCGGTTTCGGCCTGACATTTTTTTTTATTTCGGTTTCGTTTCGGTTTTAAAATTTCCATTTCGGTGCACCTCTAGTCATAAGTTCAGTTTCCTCCCACAGAACTAGCTGTTAGTGACCATTACTAAAACGCTACCAAAAACCAAACACAGAAGAGAGCCGTCTTCCTCTGGCGGATCACCAGAGGAAGACTGGGCAGAAGAAGAGGCTACTCTAATAGTTTATGTTTTTTATATGTTGGGCTATTTTTCAAGAAGCTTGTAAAAACTGACCCACTGGGCCCGATTCACTAAAGTAAATGGATAAGAACAGAGATAAACCATTAGGGTATACTGGAATCCAAGGTTCCCTAAATCTATCTACCTGATCATACAGTGATGTTCAGAGGGTGCTGTGCTGGTTGTACATCTACATAATGTTGCCTTTTTGCTTTCAGTACATATAAAAGGTGCACCGCAGAATGTGTAAACCTACACTTGTCTCAAAAATTAATTCAAATGAAAAAATAAAGTGACTGGCCAAGCAATGAAATGTGCATGTGCCAAGCTAAAAGGCAAATAAACTTGTACACTGTGGTGACGTAGGAAAAACATAGCATGTGTACTGGTATTCATCAGCGTAAATCTCGATTTCAAGACTAGAATATGGAAATGTATACACCGGCTAGTGCTTGAATTTCTCTGCATACGCACAAACGTCCACGGATGTGCATTACAATACTCTTCAGTGTTTGGGTTACTGAGGATTTGTTTTTTTGTACAAAGCAAGTTTTTTGGGTTTTTTTTACGGTTGTGAGTGTTTGATGCTGTTTTATTCCTGAATTAAAAAGCTAACAGCAGTTAGGTAGACACAAAACAAGACAGAATTATTATTTTAGGTCCACCATGATTCAGCTAGCATGTACATACCTTTGCAAACTGCCCTGGTTAGTAAAAGTTGCTTATTTAAGCTGTAAACTGTGCACATCAAAGGCACAGCACATTCTGCAAGCATACAATCTGCTTCTTTACACATGATTGTACACTATGTGCATATCCTTTAGTCAATCAGGCCCACCATCTCAAAAGCAGCCCAAAATTATAACAACATTCGCCACTGGCTGTCCTCCCTCCCCGCCCCCCCACCCCCATGTGTTAGATTTAAACATGATTAAAGAATCTTTCACATAACTCGCCTATCTTGGAGAAAATGTTGCTTCGATGCCGATTTGAGCTTTCAGATTCTTCAGCAGAGATTATATAGACAAGGAGTTTAGTCACATGACCAGCAGACATGAGGTCCTATAGTAATTGTTATCTCCAAGACAGACAAGTACTTTGAGAATTCCTTTTAGTATACTTTTTGCTAAAAAATGTGGGTGGTCAGGAGGGCGAAGTATGTTATGAATATTAGGCCTTGTCCACACCAAGCACGGAGCAGGTGCAGACCGGATCAAAACTGCGTCCAATGTATTCCAATGGTATTTTTTGCTCCAGTTCACATTACAGCGTGCAGTTCCAGAGTAGGTGAAAAAACTGCAGCAAGCCCTATTTTACCTGCTCTGGAACGCATGCAAGCGCATCAAAAACGCATAAAAAACACATGGAAATGCCTGGAACGCACTGAAAGCCCATGTTAAACTAAAAAAAAAAAAAAAACGTCCCGGAACGCATCAAAATTGCGGCAAAACGTGTGGAGAAACCCGAGCGGATCTGCTCTACATTTGGTGTGAACAAGGTCTTAAAAAGGAGAACTATGGGGGAAAGGCTTTTTCCTATAGTTCTCCTTAGGGTAACGGGAGGACACAAACTAGCGTCCTCCCGTCACCCTAGGCTCAGTATACCGCGAGCTGTAGCTCACGGTATACTGAGACGCCGCAGCTGAAGCGGATCCCGACAATTATGCCAGGATCCGCCCAGCTGCGTGACTGACAGCTGGCTCTGCCTATCTAGAGGCAGAGACAGCTGTACCCGCCCCCTCCCCCATCCGTTCCGCCAGTCAGCGCTGGAGGATCGGAGCAGGGAAAGGGGAATCCAGCCCCTCCCCTGTCACGGCAGAGAGCCGTGACAGGATCGAGAGGTGAGGGAACGCCGGTGTGTGTTCGCTCACCCCCCGATCTACTGAGCCGACCTGCGACAGTCTCATTGTCACAGGTCGGCTAGAACTATGTGGTGAGTGAAAAGTACTCACAACATAGTTCGCCTTTAAGGTTAAATAGGAAAAAGTTCTATTTACAAAGATATTTTCTAACTTCTTTCAAACTATTCTCGAACATCAGTTTTTTCATGTTTAAAAAAAATGTTCTGAACAGAGGAGTTTGTGGGTACACTATCGGCTTACGTGACATACCAATATAAGCGCTAAATGACTGACAGACAGTAAAGCCTCCAAAACTAGTTAACTTTCAGCTCCAAATCTCTGGTATGCCCACAAATCCCTCTAATAGATGAACTCTGCAACTCTGAGTTGCTTAAAGGAGAACTATGGGGTCAGTGTTTTTCCCCATAGTTCTCCTTAGGGTAACGGGAGGACACAAACTAGCGTCCTCCCGTTACCCTAAGCTCAGTATACCGCGACCTACAGCACGCGGTATACTGAGACGCCGCAGCGGATCCCGACCTGGACGTCGGGATCCGCCCAGCTGAGTGACAGCTGGTTCTGCCTATCTAGAGGCAGAGCCAGCTGTACCCGCCCCCTCCCCCGTCCGTTCTGCCAGTCAGCGCTGGCAGATCGGAGAGGGGAATCCAGCCCCTCCCCCTGTCACGGCAGAGAGCCGTGACAGGATCGAGAGGTGAGCGATCTACTGAGCCGACCTGTGACAGTGTCATTGTCACAGGTCGGTCAGAACTATGAGGTGAGTGGAGATCACTCATCTCATAGTTCTTTAATATCACCAGGGTAAGCAAGGAGCAAGACTTCACTAAAACTAATGGGATCAGGGGCTGAAGGTTCAAGTCTGAGGAGTGCAATGCATTGGGAAAAATGTTTAAAAAAACATGACACATAAGTGAGATCACAAAACACTCGTTACAAGTAGAGGTGCACTGAAATGAAAATGTAAAAACCGAAACAAAATTTTCAAATATTTTAAAATATTTTATTTTTATTTGAATATATTTTATTTGTATTTAATTTATTTTTATTAAATATTTTTATTTTTTACTTTACTTTTAGGGGCTCCGGGGAAATATTAGGGATCTAAACAGACCCCTGATGTTTCCCTTTTAAAATAGAAAAAGAGATT